AGGCGAGCTATCACCGGCGGCTACGGGGGCCTGGGCGGGCACGGTGCTCGCGACGCCACCGAGGAGGGACTTCGGCGTCTTGTTCCGGCCCGCCGCTCTCTTGTCGCATAGCCTGTGCTCGCGCCTCTCTCTCTCTCTCACGCTTGTCGCGCACGAAGCTGGAAAAAGCGGATCAGGTCGTCGAACACCATCGTGCGCGACATGTGGGCGAGCGCGCCCATCTCGTGTCGTTGGTTGTGGTCCGCGGCTCTTTCTCGTCCATCTCCTGGGACCTGCAGTCGGGGTTGCCATAGATAGGTTCCGCGATTATCAGCGCCATTATTAAATCGCAGACTTGAGACCAGGCATCTTCCAGCTCGCGGACCCGCTAGTCTTTCCGCTCCTCCATGTTAGCGTAAAAGTTTCGACGTCGGGCAACTTATCGACGCACTCGCGGGCGTCGACGATGAGCGCGCCGGGGGCTTGGATGGGTCAGGTTCTGGGTTGTAGTAGGCGTGGAGCGTGGCGAAAAGATCGGTGGGGTGCATTTCAAACCTCCACCACGGCCACGGCCACTCGCGCTCCCACTCGTACTCGGGCGTGGGCAGGATCCCGTTAATGGTCGACCGAGCTTATATGCTTGTCTTGCGTGGTCTTTATCTTCGGGCCGACGATAATGTCGTTTTCAGCAAAACGCTTTTTTGATGGTAAGATTGTTTTTAATTCTCAGTCCCGTGTTAGTTTTCGCCATGCCCCTTTGTTTCTTTCGTTTATTCGTCATTTTTAGGACATCTTCTTTATCCTCAGCCGCGCTATCGCGCTATGGATCGCTGGCGGCAAAGAGCTCATAGGATCTATATCCTTTGCCGAATCTCCAGGCTTACATACAAGTGTTTTTTTTCTTGACTGCCTTTTTCGCTTGCTAGCCGGCGCTTGTCGTATTGGGGTTACCCGCTTTTCGTTCGTCCATGGCACCTTCCATCAGATACCATCCCACGGCCAAGTGGGATAATCGCACCTTGCTTTTACGTGTAGGTAGATTGAGCTGGCCTGCGCCGCCTACATTTTGACTTGCGGCGAGAATCCCAGCTGTAGACGGAAAACATTCTGGTTCCTATCGCCTGGACTTGTGGGTAATTGACGGGATTCAGCAGCGTGCGTCGCATCCATAGGCCCTGACAGGCAAGGGCGGATACGTGGCTCGCAAGCCCGTCTTATAAGCTCTCAGTGATGTCGTACTCGCACTTGCGGGTTAGATGATGATTCCATCCACCGTGTGTACTACTGAGGTCCCTTGGGGCAGCTCAGATGAACACGAGCCCACCGTGATTGCCGAAATCCCATTGCACGCCAGCTGTCAGTCCGTGAGGACCCTTGTGGGTCCGCGCTCTGGCAGCCGCATGAGGGGCACGTGCATCCAATCCGCTGCTGGCCCCTCCCGCTTTGGGGTGCACAAAAGCGTGCTGGCAGCTGTGAACCGCCGTCGGAACCCCGCGCCTGCAGCTGAGCGCGCTGAGCCTTGGAGCCACAGTCGCATTGATTGGAGGGCTGGTCAAGCGGGCGCAGGCAGAGACTGCGCCGGAGGAGCGAGAGAGACCAAACAGAAAAAAAAGAGGGAGGAAAAAAAAAAACCGGGCTGGGCTTTCCTTCTCCAACGAACAGCAGCCAACCCTCCTGCATTGCTGTCCCTTCCATTCCTCTTCCAATCCATCCCCCTCACAAACGGAGCTGCACCCCGACCCGAATTCTCCTCCTCGTCGTCGGCCATCGCGTGCGAGCCATCACCAGCCACCCCCGCCATCATCCTCATCAATTGATCCTTTGACGGCGCGTCGTCTGCCGCTACAAATCTCAACCCCGCCGCGCGTCGCATTCGCATTAGCCTTCACATCTCTGAATCATGTCCTTCGCCAGCCCCCAACCCCAGATCAACGCGGCCCAGGCCGAGGGTCGTCGCGTCTACATCGGCAACCTCAACTATGACCTTCAGAACACGGACATCGAGGAGATGCTGGGGCAGTCGGGCTTCCCCGCCTTTGAGAGCGTCAAGGTCCCCCTCGACCAGGCCAGCGGTCGCAACCGCGGCTATGCCTTTGTCGACTTCCCTAACCACGAGGAGGCCGACCGCGCTGTGAACAGCCTCCAGGCCGTTATTGGCGGCAGGGAGATCAAGGTCAGGATGTGCGAGCCCAAGCAGCAGGATCGCCAACAGGGCGGCTACAACAACTACAACAACGGCGGTGGCTACAACAACGGTGGCTACAACAACCGCAGCGCCTACGCCAGCCCCAACCCCAGCGCTTATGGCAGCCCAACCCGGCCAGCAGCAGTGGGGCGGATTTGACCAGACCATGGGCGGCGGCTTCCAGCAGCAGCAGCAGCAGCAGCAACAGCAGATGCAGCCCGACATGCGCAAGCTCTACGTCGGCGGCCTGGGTCCTGCCCCGGACCAGGGTCAGAACGATGACGAGATCCGGATGCTCTTCAATGGCTTCAACCCGTACGTCGACTGCATTTCCATGGCGCACTTAATCTCCGTCCTACCCCCAAAGGAGCGTCGAGGAGCGATTGCTGACATGCACCCACAGGACATACATCAGCAAGCGCCTTGATAGCAACCGCGCCGCTCCCGAGAACCCGGACTACAGGTTCTGCTTCGTCGAGTTCGAGACGGCTGAGGAAGCCAGTGCTGCCAAGGACGCTCTTGACGGTCGCTCGTACGGCCCCGAGGGCGTGCAACTCCGCGTCAGCTTCGCCAAGCCCGGTCGTTCCCAGCAGGGCCAGGGCCAGCAGCAGCGCGGCGGCTGGGGTGGGCAGCAGCGTCAAGATGCCTACAGCCGCGGCGCGCAGCAACCCAACATGGGAGGCAGCGTCTGGAGGAGGGGCTAGACGGGCGCTTGGCCGCGCCGTGTGCTGAATTCTACTCTTTGTTTGCCGACATGGTTTGCTCGGCTGGCCTTCCGCACTGGCGGGACTTGGAGGATAAAACGAAGGGAGCCGGCGCACAACATTATCTTTCAGGGCCTCGTTGTTCTTGGTTTTCTTGTTATCTTCCCTCTTTACCTCGTCTCTCCCCTTGGGCCCGTCGACATGCGCCGACGAAGGAGCCGGGCAGAAATTGCAATGAGAATATCACCTTCCCCCTTGTCGCGTGTGCCCTAGGCAGGCACAATTTGTAGTCGGCTACCGTTGTTTATTGCTCTTCAACACTTTAACCGGCCAGGTGAAGCCTGGCCATCACTCACTGGTCATGCGACCGCGAGCCTCGGGGCTGAAGCCCAAGATGGAAAGTCGGTGCGAAGCCCAACACAAGGGCCGGTATCGCTTTAGTAAACGCGCACTACTCGTCGAACTCGAATCGGCGCTATCGACGAAGGCCGAAATCAACAATTTCCAAGACATCAAAAGTTATCATGTCTGGCCTACCACATCTGTATTTACTCACGCGATCGGGTAAGGACCATAGGCCATCCCTCCCTTCACTTTTCACACCGAGTTGGCTAACTAAACATTTTGGTCCAGACCATCTCCGCGGAGGAGGCAAACAACCGAAATAGTACACAACAGGGCCGTCAATGATGCAGATACCAGTTCCACGACGGAGCCTCCAACAACAATTACCACACCGTCTGGTCTCGGCGCCGGGCAGCTTGGCTTCTTTGAAGAAACTTGACATGTCTTGGCGTGGCCTAACCATCACATTCAGAAGCTGTATCATAGCGGGTAGTCCTTGGGCGATAAGTTGGAATCTCAGTTCTAATTCGCGGTGTAGGCACATGCTAGTCATCTCGGCTACACTTGAAGCCGGTTGAGAATATCTATAATTAATGGTGCTTAGATGGATGCTCAACACTACATAGTCTCCGCTTCCGTACCACTGGCCCTCGCCCCAGCTAAGCAGGCCTGCGTGCCCAATCAGGCTGAACCAGGACTATAGGAAGCCTTCGTGTCGCACCTACTTAGCTAGGATGTGTGGTATGTGGCATGATAGAGATACAAGGCTAGACTGGCCACAACCCCCGCACTCGAGCACCGTGATTGTACCCACTGGGACGTCTGGCCATGCATGTCTGGGGGCGAGTCCCACTTCCCCAAACTGCCGTGGGCAGGATCTCCCCACAGCTTCTAGGGTCTATCTGTGCGCGTGGCGATCTGGCCGTTGCTGATGTAGGCACTTTCACCGTACCAACCAATCTTGCGGTGAGACGGGTAGTGGGGAATAGGGATCCTGAATACGGCGGTTCTTGTCGGCTGTTTTTTATACCAGGCGGCTAGGTTGAGGTTTTCTGCCTACTGGGCTCCAGTGCCGCCGGGGGCGCCATCGTGGGTGGGTTGGGCGTCGGCATTCCGAGCAGCCACAACAGCAGATGACCACACCTCTCCAGGTTGCCTTTTTGCGCTACGCCTCAAGGGATACATGATTACTGGCGTCTGGTTCGAACGGTGGCCGCATGGCTGCGGCCTGGGAGTTCCTTTGCCGGCGTCGTGGTAGACCTGGACGAGGCTTTGGTCTGCGCCGGGATGCTCATGGCGCGAATGGGCAATATCGGAGTGGTCAAAGCTTTCCAGTGCCGTTGCTGGGAGCGGCATGAGGCTGCGGGCCTCTACATCCAACTACCTGGTGTGAAGTGGTCTCGGAGATGGCAGAATACTGCGGAACAGAGTCGTTGGTCTGTTGGAAGAAATCCCCTGCTTCGATCCTGTACGGCTTGACTCTCGGACTCTATGGGAATCGAGGAATGCGTTGAAGGCTTCGCAGCGTTACATACTGGCATGGCTCATAGCCTCTAGCGCGCAAAGCAAGCCCCACGATGGCACCCTGGTCCTCTTATTTTGGCACCATTCATATCCTGCCCCCCTCTCTCTTTTGCTTCCATCTCGCCTCGGGTCTAACCGCGGCCTCGTGCACCAAAAGTCGGTAATCATGGTAGCAGCAACGGCAGAGCGCAAGATCGTCCTCATCACGGGCTGCAGCGCCGGCGGCATAGGGTCGGCGCTGGCGCTCGAGTTCCACGCGCGGGGCCACCTCGTCTTCGCCACGGGCCGCACCCCTGCCAAGATGGCCCACCTGGCCGAGGCGGGCGTCCGGACGCTCGAGATGGACGTGACGTCGGACGCGTCCATCGCCGCCGCCGTGCGGGCCGTTATCGCGGCGCAGCAGCAGGAGACCAGCAGCGGTGTTGGTGGTGGTGGTGGTGGTGGCGGCGACAAGGGCGCGGCTCGGGCGCGGCTCGACGTGCTCGTCAACAACGCGGGCGTCACCTACATCATGCCCTTCGCCGACGCCGACATGGCGCGCGTGCGGGCCGTCGTCGACACAAACGTCACGGGCGTGCTGGCCGTAACGCACGCGCTGCTGCCGCTGCTGGTCGCCGCGCGCGGGCTCGTCGCCACCGTCGGCAGCGTCAACCAGGTCTTCAACCCGCCCTTCCAGGTCCCCTACAACGCGTCAAAGGCCGCGCTGGCCGCCGCCGCGGACACGCTGCGCGTCGAGCTGGCGCCGCTGGGCGTGCGCGTCGTCCACATAGTGACGGGCGCCGTCGCCACCACGCTCATGGAGCACAAGGGGGGCGCCGCGGGGCCGGACCTGCTGCCGCCGGGGAGCTGGTACGAGGCCGTGCGGGACGTTGTGGAGAAGCGCACCTTCTTGGAGGCCGGCGGCGTCAAGTTCACGACGCCCGAGGAGTATGCGCGCCAGGTCGTGCGTGACCTGACCAAGGAGAAGCAGTCGCCCGTGCTGTACCGCGCCGCCTCGGCTGTGTCTGCGAGGATTCTCAGCATGTTTATGTGGCACGGGATGCTGGTGAGTGATGGAGGTATTTGTTTCTCGATTTGCTGGCGCTAACCTTGTCTCACAGGATTCCATGTTCCGGCGTGTAACAAAACTCAACGCCGTTACGCCCCCAGACCCGGCTGCTATCAGCACGCGGCAGGACAAGTAGGACGCCAAGCGCCACCATAACCCACGGCTAAAGCAACGCAGGGTATACCGAACTGGGGAGTGGCTTATCTGATCCTGCACTTGTGGTTCTGCTCCGGTCAATTATCAGTTTATGGTGACGAATGTGTAGTCTACTTTAGCTATTTCATTGTCATCGTAGTTCCCTTCTCAGTATAAATTTATACTGAAACTCCCAAATTCCTGCAGCCTGCCACCTAGCCCCCCAACCAACCAACTTCCGTATCGCACTGCCAAGCCCTCCCGCTCACCTCCTCCTCGGCGGAAGGACGGTCGGGACAGCCCCCCTGGTGGTGGTCCTGGGCAGATCCGGGACGGGGACGGTGGGCACGCAGGCGCAGGCGCTGCTGACCTGGGCCACGACGTCCTTGCCGCCGGCCGCGCACGGCTCCTTTGCGTACTCGGGCACGGCCGCGGGGTCTGTGACCTTGCGCTGGAAGAACTTGTGGCAGAACTTGACGCTCTCCTCGAGGCGACCCTTGACGCTGCTGGCGCGCAGCGACGTCAGGCATGCGTTGGACTCGCACACGGCCGGCTTCTCGCACTCCTTACTGCTCATCTTGACGACAAAGGAGCCCCGCTCGATGGTGTGCACAAAGATGAAGCCCGATTTGAAGTAGGCATAGGACGACCACGAGCCAAGGAAGGCCACGGTGCCGCCCCCTTCCTTCTCGTCGTCCTCCGGGTACACGTCGAAGAAGCCGGCCTCGCAGATGCCGGCGCCCGACGGGTCCGAGGTGACGGAGCGCACGTCGAGCACGTTGAGGCCGTTGCCGTAGTTGGACTGGTACAGGTAGCCGCCGACCACGTACTGGTTGTGGTCGATGGAGCGCGTCTTGCCGACGTACTTGCCGCTGTAGTGCGGGTTCTCGAGGTCGCGGATGTCAAAGATGTGCGTCGTCGGCAGCCCCTGCGTCATGGGGCCGACCTTGGCGTCGCGCTCGTCAAACTCGTCGTCCAGGAAGAGGTACTCCTGGTTGTTGATGTCGTTGACGGCGCCCTGGTGCACGTACTGGGCGCCCGGGAAGGACGTGATGGAGATGATGTTTGTGACGTTGCCAACCTTGTTGGTCACATCATAGATGGTGAGCGTGTCCTCGTTGTAGCCGTAGCAGATGTCGCGGCCTTGGTAGCGCAGGTCGGGCCCCCTATAGACCAGGCACTCGGCATCGTGCACGTAGCCGTCGCCGGCCGCGCACCCGGGGCTGGTGGGGTTGGAGGGGTCCGACATGTCGAGGAAGATGAGCCCGCCGCGGCAGGGGAGGTCCCCCCTGACGCGGATGGTCTCGTTGCCGCCGACCGAGCCGCAGGCGACGGCGTAGTTGAGCTCCTGGTTCACCGCGATGTTGTGGGTGCGGCCCACGGGCAGCTCGTCCCAGTGGCCCGTCAGGTCGGCCTGCGTAAAGATGGTGGGGTTGGCCGGGTCCAGCCCCAGGAGCTTCTTCATATCAAAAATCTGGACGCCGTGCTTGATGGCCTCGGACCCGATGACGGCGTAGTCGCGCAGCACGCGGATCTCGCGCCAGTTGGACCCGATGGCGTCGTACTGCGGCAGCCGGCCCAGGTACACGAGCCTGCCCTCGCGGCTGATCTCGGCAAAGGCCGTGCCGTCGTACTGCCCGATGGCGACGAACTCGCGCCCGGACTTGGACGTCCAGCCCCAGGAGGAGGACCCTTGCCCCGCGTGCTTGCTGCCGAGGTCGGCGTGGGACAGGAAGTGGTACAGGTCGATCTGCGTCGCGGCTATGTCAGCAGATGCATGTGGATGGTGTGTTGTACTAGGTACCCATGCATGGGCACAAGGGTGGCTTACGTTGCGGCACCTAAAGGTGTTGTTGGCGTCCCCGGGGACCGCGGCGGCAAAGCCGTCGACGCACTTGGCAAAGCCGAGCTCCGGGTACCGAGAGCTGTTCATCTGGCCAGCGGCTGCCTCCTTTGCCCATTGTGCCTGGGAGTTGCGACCTTGTTAGCGCATGAAACTGGGATCTGTGGATCCGTAGTCAAGCTTGCCATCTTGATTCCCATGATGCGTTCGTGCACAGCGCCCGAAGCATAGTCCTCCTTGGACCCCGCGCCCGCGGCCTTGCTCAGGCCGGCAACGGCGGACCAGAGCGTGGTGATGGTGGTGACGCGAACCATGTTGGCGACGTCACTGATGAAAGGAGGATGGGTCGTAGGCTGGAGAAGGTGCCAGGAGGCTTGAGTACGCTGCGACGGCGCAGAGAGCGCGCATCACCGGAGGACGAGGGAGGAACAATGATGACTTTTATATTATTCCCGCCACCGGGGCCAGAAACATCTCTCGCATATGCATGCGGCCGCCCTCGTGCCCTAGATTCTGCAGCACCAAGTGCTCCCCGCATGCGATATCCTCCCTGGCTACTCGGCGGAGTTCATGGCAAGGTCGCGTAATCAAGATGCGGTGCAAGGCTACACGTGTGCGTGTGCTTGGCTGACATGGTTGCCGATAATGCTCCCAGGCCGCAAGGTCCTTTTTTGTTCCTATGTTCCTATGATGGATGTGGTCTGTAAAAAAATGTCTGGTAGGTTGTCAGACGCCTCCCCCGCACTTCGACCCGCCTGCCACCGACTTTCCACGCTGGCACCCAGCTTGGGGTCTCTTGGCGCCGTGCCCTTGGCCAGTCCGGAGCGGGCGGGTCAAGGCCACTGCAGCGAGGACCCCCCCTTCGGCAAGTGCGTCATTTGTGCCGTCTGGCCCAAGTCCGTGGTATTCTCCAGGTCCGTGGCGAGCTGTTCTCTGTTGCTTATCTCTGGGGAGGCAGAAAAGAACCAAGGCTCCGCCTCCCCTGCCGGCCAAGGCCGTCCTTCCTTTTTGGGGCTAGCCGAGAAATCTCTGATTCGTTCCGGTGCTGGGGCCTGCCATCGGCCCTCGGTGCCCGGCGTTGCATTGGAGTGTTGCCGAGCACCGCGACATCTCGGCCTCGGGTAGGAGGGGAGTTGGTCTCGTTGGCAGAAATAGGGAAACGGCAGGAGCAAAGAATGATGGCCATTCGTGCGCCCTGGTAGCATCTAGTGTGGTCATCCTGTCACAACGGACCGGATGTAAGGATGCCTACCGATGCGCTGCATCTTGTGCGGAGCACAGGCTATATTCCACCTCGTGCCTAACTGGCCCGACCAGGCCCTTCGCTATTCCCACGATGTCTACCTACTCCATACTCACCCAACCCTACGTGCCATGCACACAAGGCGTTGTCTGGCCGTAACAATTGACAGCTCCGAGCAAGTTTCACACTATGGGACCAGCTGGCCTGACATGCAAAAATGTGTCTTGGACGGGTAAAAAGAGGAGCTTCTTTGAACTTCCATCGCTATCTTTGTGAACGTATCCTCTTTCCGGCAACCTACCCCAACAGCAACCATATTCGCCAACAAATAGTGTGCTTTTCTTGACTCCTCCGTGTTCCATCTGTCCACAATCACGTCAGAGTTCGTGCTGGAAGCTTCAAGCTCCCCTAAATCAATCACACACATACCTGGCAGTCTTATGCCTGAGGTGGTGGCGGGAAGGGCTGCCCCTGGCCAGGTCCCGGTGTCGATGCCGGCTGGTAATAAAACTGGGCATTCGGAGGTGGTGCCTGATTATTGGGTGGCTGTGGCGCCCCGCCGTACATGTTTTGTTGCTGCTGCTGCTGTTGATACCATTGCATATTCGGCGGTGCGCCTTGCGGCGGCACCGGCTGCCCATATCCGCCGCCACCTGCATGAGGGCCGTAGTGGTAGCCTTGCTGAGCGTACACCAATGCTGGCGCCCCGGGGTACGCTGCGCCGGTGGCGGTTTGAGCGGGCGGGATCGGCTGTGGTGCAGCCGAGGCCGCCGCTGCCGTTGGTGGAATCGGGCCGCTTGCTGGGCCTGCTCCTCCATTGAACTGCTGGTGAGGGTTCGGGACACTGGGCGCCGCCGTAGCCGCTGCCACGGCGGGGGGAATCTGCGGCTGCGGACAAATGGGGACAGTGTTGTCCGGTTTGTGCGACGACAGCGCCTCCTTTTTCTTGTGGGCGGCCGCCGCCTTCTCCTTCTCCTTTTCCTTCACCATGGCCATCCGGACCGCAAACTCGATATCCTGCGCACGGATCTGAAGCTTGGTGGCCCAGTCGTCGGCGTCGAAGCCGCCGCGGACCGAGATGAGGTAGTTGATGAACTCGAGGTAGGCGTCGGCGACAGTCACGAGGTCTTTGACCTTCAAATGCACCGCCACCTCCCGCGCGGCGTGGTTGGCCTGGTGGGTGGTGCGCCGCTCGTGTGCGCGGAACTCGGCAAGCGCCAGCGCGGTCTGGCAGGCGTTGCGGATCTGCCGCCCATTCCACTTGGCGTTCTTGTGGGCCGGGTTTTCGAAGTATTCCCTGGCGAACTGTAGGATCTCGTCCCGGTCGATGCGGATGTCGCCCTTCAAGTAGTTGCTGCTCCTGTTCTCCTGCAGCCGGCTCTCGATCATGTCGAGGTTGAGTTCGAAGATCTCGCGCGTCGAGTCGAGATCCAGCTGTGGATAGTATAGGCTGATGTGGATGCGCGAGGCAAAGGCCTCGTCAAAGTCCCCGATCCGGTTGGTGGTGAGGAAGAGCACTCCAGTGTAGTACTCGAGGACCCGGAGGAAGACTGTTTGCAGGCCAGTCAGTCAGGCAAGTGTCCCGGTTTCGCCATCACGATTTCCATGGAACGAGCAGACTGACCAGAAATTAATCCGTTCCGCTGAAAGTCGACCCGCGACCGCGCGGCCAGGAAGACGTCGGCCTCATCCAGGAGGAGGACGCACCCCCACCGGCTCGCCAAGCTGAAGGACGTTTCTAGGGCCTTTTCAACATCGGGTGCGCTTGTGCCCAGATCTCCTACATGCGTGAAAACAGTCAGTCTTTTGCCGTCCTGCTGCTGTCTAGTAAGATAGGATGGCTCATACCGCAGGTGATCTGGTAAAGTGGCCTTTTGAATTTCTCCGCCACGCCCTCTATAAGTGAATGAGTGGTATCAGTCAATCGTCTCGGGGCGTTGGCCTTCAGGAGATCAAGGACGTACCAGCTGTTGTCGTCTTTCCGACCCCGGGGGCGCCGTGGAGGAGAATGATCAAGCCCTTGCCTAGAACAGGAGAAAGGGAATGTGAGGTTTTTGTATCTTTCCACTTCGGGACCGTTTTCGTCATGGTCGCAATCTCACTCACCTTTCCCACTGACAATATCAACTTGCTGCCCTTCCTTTGACTCCTTGTCGCGGAAGTGCTGCGCGACCAGCGACTTGACCATCTTTTTGTGCCCCCTAGGCAAGACAAGCTGGCCAAACGCAGTGTCGTCCTCCGGGTCCGTGTCCTGGTCCGTGTCGTCATCTTGGCCTTCTTCCGCGCGGGCGATCCGTTTCTCGTTGTTGATGGCCTGCTTCCTCGCCTGGCGCCGGCTGACGCCCTTCCGCAAGAACATCTCGGACGACTGTTTGTCAGGCGGGCCCAGGTGGTTGAGGTCGAGCTGGGCCCATTTCCGGCTTCGCAGGACGAAGGCAAACACGCGGTACGACATGATGAGATAGTCGGCTTCGCCCAACGGCTCCTCCTGGCCCTTGATCTCCCGCAGCGGGCGGGCGTAGATGCTCGGCGGCGGCTCGCCACGGCCCTCAGGCATAAGCCGTTGGATGTAGTCCCGGTTACGGTTGGACTCACCGTACGAGTCTTTGTGGTACGTTTCTTTGACGATCCGGCAGCAGTCGGCCGTGCAAATCTCATCCTCGAACTCGCTAGACGTGTCCTTGCTGACAACGTTTACGAGCTCGGGCTGCCAGTCCGTCTTGTTCGAGCCTCGCCCCGCACCTGCAGAGTTGGCCTGGGCCCGCTTCTGGTTCTGAAAGTACGAGAAGGCCTCCTGGAAGTCGATGACGACGTTGCTGTCCACCTCGTCGCGCGTGTCCAGCGTCAGGCCGTTGTAGTGCATGTGCTTGAACCCCGCCATGGTGATATTCATGAAGAGCTTGCCGCGAGCGACCAACTTTTTGCGTAGGGACACCTCAAACTGCTCGTCGCCTTCCTTGGAAGAAGCAGCATGGGCTAGTGTGCCGATCCTCTGCTCAGCGAAGCGCAGCGGAAACACCTCGAATGATGTAACGGCCTTCTCGTTGTCGTACCGCGGGATCCGGACCTCGCGGACACTCGGGCCGAGATTATTTCCGTCAAAATCGATGTAGACGCACACCAGAACCACTGGCGTCTCCTCCTTCGCCTTGGCCGCTCTATCCCACCGAGTCCGCCACGGCGGGAACACTGTGTGGCTAGGGCTCGAAACTTGGACGACCCGGTAAGCTTGGCGAAGCGTCTGGTCGACCACTTCGACGCCAGGCCTGAAGAGGTACCAGATGTCCGTGAAGGGGATCCGGGTGAACTGGCCCGTCTCCAGGTAACTGATCTTTTTCTCGATCTGCCCGTCCATGAACTGCACGAGGCATTTGAGATGCTCGTACGCCATGAGAGAAAACGTCCATTCGTCCTTGACGTCCTCCGGGCTGGGCCCCTCGGTCTCGCTGGCTGCTGAGCTGGCCGCATTCGCAGGCACGGCGTCAACCTCCTCAGACGTCGTCTCTGTCGTTGCAGTGTCGGGCGGCGGTCTCTCGTCCTTGGTCCCGAACTCGGCCTCGAGCTCCGCCAGCTTTGCTCGAATCGCCTTGTCGTAGTAGTTGAGCCCCTTGTATGGTCGGATCATGACCAGCGGCATATCGTCCTCGCTGATTTCCTCGCCATGGATCTTGGACAGGATGCGCAGGATGTGTTTCGAGTTGATGCGGATGCGCTCCGCGATGGGCCCCTGGCCCGGCACGGCACTCGGGTTACCCTTTTGGGTTGGGTTGAAGCGCTGTTTGGCCGCCACCGCCGCCTTGGCCGTCCTCGCCGGCTCCCAGTAGTTGTAATACCCGGGCCTCTCGAACGAGACATCGGGCTCGCCATCGAGGATGTCTATGGCACAAGAAAACCCTTTGGACCTCAAATGACAGAGCCGCCAGTCTTCCCAGTCCACATGGTTGAGAATGGGTTTCTCAATAGGGACGGCTGGGACGGCGCTGTTCTCGTCGCTGGGCAGCCCGGTCGGATCGGCCATACCAGGAGCAGGCTGGCCGCCAGTGCCAGACTGGTCCGCCTGTTGCTGCTGCTGCTCCTGGAGTTGCTTCTTCATCTCTTCGCGTTCCCGCTCCCAGAGTGTCTTCATGTCTCGTAGACGGTCTCGCTCGTCCTGGAGCTTGTTGATATTGTCAAGATGGCTCTTCAGGCGGGTCAGCTGAGACTCAACGAGGTCGACTGTGACGGCAGTGTACCGGCCGACCGACCGGTCGTCTTTGGCAGTTTTCAGGTTTGGCACACCCATCCGTTCCCGGTCCTCGTCGTCAGCGTCGTCCACATAAGCTCTGGTCGCGGGTTGGCCAACCATGGCTTCCGCCAAAGCTATCGAGGCCGCGGGGGACAGTCCACCTCTGAGCTCCTTCTCCATCCGCTGTCGTGCGCGCCTCTCGTCATCGTTCTGCTGCTCGAGCTGGGCCAGCTTGTCCTGGAGCTTACGCAGTCGATCTTCCATCTCATCGGACCCGGAACGAGCAGGAGGGAGGCGAGGAGTTGCAGTGCCGCCGTGGTCGTGGTCACGGCCATGGCCATCTCGGCGTGCATTGTCATTGTTACTCCCATGTTCGTCTACATCTGTGTCCACCGATGTAGCAGGCGTTGAAGGATGGCTCTCCGTTGAAGGCGTAGGGCTGGTTTCGTTGTCATGGTGCGACATTATGGGACTTGGAGGGCTGTCATCCTCCTGCATCGCGCAAGCTGGATCCATGTGAAGTACGACGCGTAGGACGCGACTAACGCCCGTTGATAGGTAGCAAGTAGTAAAATTGGTAGGATCGGCAACTTGTCAGGAGATGAACGAGGGTTTTCCGAGCGCAACACGCTCCGCGGGTGGATGGATAGGAGAACCTGGACATTTTGAACCGTTAGATGTGATTAAACGCACCCCCCTCACGAATGGCTTCTGCAGTTGACGATACTTCAATTCACCGGTCCCGAAAGTGCAACATTGGGCATCGATACTTCGCTTGGTAGCTCAGTATCCCTGCAGCCTGCATTTACTGCCCGCTCTCTGGACACGTAATTGGCGGTTACCACCACCATCGCCGCCACTACCGCCATTGCCACTAAGTAATTATGCAACAGCATTTCAGCTGGTGTCCAGGAAAGGAAATCCCGCCGACATCACTGCATTGCGTGGCTTGGGAAGTGCGCCAGTCGGTTCCGACAGGCTCCGACGCTGCTCTGTGGCGTATGTGCACATCATCATGGAGAAGAAGCCTGCCATCTCACATGTTTCGGTAGGGCACCCACCTTCCGGATGCGCCATTTTATGATTCCATGACGGTGGTGAGTACGTCCAGTCTTGGGCATTGATGGCCTCCGACCGGTGCGTGACGATAATCCGTTGCTGACGCGGCGTCTTGGGCTGGGCTGCACATGGGCCGATTGGCTGCCCGGTCATGCCCCCCGTGCGCTGCCCTTGGAGGGTGCGCTTTAGCCAGGGCATCCGCCCTTGGTCATGGGCCAACCCAGGCGCGGCCAGGATTGAGGGAGGCTAGCTTGTTGTCCCGAGCCTGACAGTCAGATAGCGTGCAATCCCAGCCCTTTCAAGTGTCTTGCGGTATCCTGGAGTCTTTTCCTAATGCCAGGTGGTTCGTCGTGTGTCGCCATTTGCCGCTCAACTGCTTTGATGTGCGCGACTCCAGCGGCGCCTGCCCTGTGGTCTGCATAACCAGTCGGTCCAGTCCCCCCGCCTGTGCACCGCCACGGATCTCTCCTCGATGGAGCAGCAACCGCACCGCCTCCCAGCCGTGTGCCAGCAGCCGCCGTCGGTCGACTTTATACAAAACAGACTGCCCCGCATCCTCGACGCCGTCAAAGGCGCCCCGGTACACTACAACCCGCAATCAAACCGGTTCGAACCTATCAACACCGTCACTGCTGCTATGTTGGCGCCTTCGATAGGAGAAAAGGCACGTTCCGGACAGCAGGCGGAGGACGCTGCCGGAGAGACTACCAAGAGGAGAGATGTTCAGCCGCCCGTCCGAGAGCTCGTCCCAGCCGTGGAAGCCATGGTCTTCTGGAACGCCATCCTCGAGCCGGCCATGGCACGGTTCAGCACTCAAAACCAGCCCGAGGCGCAGACGCTGGTGGAAAAGCCGCAGTACTCCATCCGGGCGAAAAAGCAGTGGCGGGGCATCCATGAGAATCTCCAAAGCGCTCAGGACGTATTCAACGGGACCGGCAAGCCCGTGCTGAGCAAGTTCAAATATGCGTACCGCAAGGTAGCCGACCATACCGAGACTTTGCAGGAGATTATCGAGCTGATTCCGGATGAGGGGGCCTACGTCTCTCTGGTCAAGTCTGTCTTGGGCCTGTTGCTTAGTGTGAGTTCATATTTCGGTTCATCATCTGCGTTGTGTAGATATAAAACGAGATGGCTAATAACACACAGCCTCTTCATGCCTCAGCCCAAACTCGGATGGAAGTAACCGGGTTCGCGGACGGCGAGGATATGGAGAAGGGGTTCTCCAAGGTCGAGATCTTTCTCGCCGCCTTTCCAGGCGACCAGAACATCAAGGAGGCCTCCGTGGATCTGATTGCGTGCGTCCTCAAGGCGGTGGAGAGGGCCATACTTTACTTTCTCAGCAGCACGAGTAAGGCAGATCCAAAGCTTCGTGCTAGTTCGATACGATGCTAAAACATTCCTTCCAGTCAGCAGGGCAATGGGGAGACATAAGGAGGACCTTATCGGCAGCATCAACCAGATCTCCGCGCAGACGAAGGGGCTCATGGAGCGAGTCGAGGAGTCCCACATCTGGGGGCTGCAAAAAGCTTCGGGATTAACTCTTGCCAGTATGTTCTCTGTTGGTTCTTTTTACAGCTAACAGTTTTTTCTCTAACTCAGCCGGGTCCCTTCAATCTAGACATTGAAGAACTCAGACTTCTAAATGTCGAGAACGCCATGGCTATATCGGTGAAAACCGACCAAGTCTTCAACCAGGGGCGAAAGATCATGCTGCGGCTTGACGGCGTGGGCCGCATCGTGCAGGATTATATGCAGCAGTTCACTCAGCAGCAAGAGGACCGCGACGCCAATTTCAAGGCCGAGCAGGAGGCTCGAGACGCCCAGTTCCAGGCCGACATTATGAACAAGGTGAAGATACTTTTTGATGACTATACCGAGAACATCAGAGAAACGATTCGGCAAGGTGCGTGTTTGTTCCTTTAATTCTTGCACTGCCAAGGACTGTGCTGCATAGGATCCATGCATTGTACAGACGTTAACCACCGGAGCAGAGTTTGAGGCTTCGAATCGAAGCCACACCTCGGCTGCGACATCGCGAAACCCGTCTCCTGGGCCCGAGCAACAGCAATCACCGTCCCAGTGGCCACCGCAAAACCCTTGTGGTCCACCACCACCATGGCCACATGACCCCTATGCGGTACACCAGCTGCAGCTGCAGCAGTTCTACTTCCAAAACCCCTCCTATCTGGCGCCTCCGCCGCCAGTCCATCCCCATCACCAATATTACCAGCAACCCCTACCCATCCCTCTACCTGTCCCAGAACCGACAGGCATCCCCGTAACCGCCTTGTTGTCGGCACTCGGAACCCTCATTGGACTCGATAAGCGTGACATGCAGTCCGCGCTTTCCCAGTCCGAATCCATCCTTATATCCCACCGACTCCGCGCCCAGGAGATTGTCCAAGCGCGGGAATTTCGCGCCTGGGCGACAGCACCGTCGTCCCGGGAGCTGCTAGTTCTGGGCGATCCCAGCCTCGAGCCCTTGCAGGCCGGGGCCGCGGTGAGTTTGGTGGCGGCTTCGCTGACGGAGAGCCTCAGGGCGAGGGGTGCCGGGTTCGCTACCCTGGTCTTCTTTTGTGGGCTGCACACGCGGCACGACGACGCATATTCTGGAGCGGCCGTTATGATCAGGGCCTTGGTCGCCCAGCTCCTGGAGCAGCACTACGCCGGGTATCGGTTCCAGGAGAGCGACCTAGGGTTGAGCCTGGAACAGTTGGCCGGGAGCACTGATAGTACGACGACGGCAGCTGACATCGCCGGGCTGTGTGCCCTGTTCGAGTGGTTGGTCAAGTGGCTGCCGCGAGGCAAGACTCTGGTGGTCGTTATCGACGGGATCGGCGAGTACGAAAGGGTGCAGTTCAAGGAGGGCATGCTGGTGGTGCTGCGGTGTCTGCTGGGTCTGGCGGCGGCAGCCGAGGCGAGGGGGCAGGGCCCCGTGGTAAAGGTGCTCGCCACGTGCCCGACAGGAACCATCAGTCTACTGAGCGAGTTTAGGAGTAAAGGTCCAGAGAGTGTCTTGCTTATGGAAGCACTGCAGGTCGTAAGCGAGCGGATGGACATGGACCTGGGGGAACAGGGGTTTTCTTAAAGCAGCATAGGAGGAGGAGTAGTATATTCAAGAGAGCCTTTACGCCACCACGGTCTTGCACTCGCATGTAACACGTGACAACATCGCTGCACTTAGGAGATTCTATACTAAGCATGCAAAATGAAACCCACGCTTCCAAGCCATATGTGCGGTCTAACCAGGTATCATATTAAAAAAAGAGACAAGAAAGAATATTAAAGCTAGCGAGGGGAATTTGAGAGAAGCAGGCGCAAGTGTGCATAAACTCCAAGACAATGATTCAGAACAAGACAGAAAAACAGCGGAGGAAACTGTTGGATCCAGTTGTGTCCCCCTCGTCTTAGCTCAAATCAAGCTCTAACCCGGAATCCTTCGGAGCCTTGTATTCTTGCCATGATCTTTGCATATCGGTGTCAGATAACGGCAGGATATCTTTTGTCCAGCTCAGTTTCTCAGGGGCGTCGATTCGGTAAACGTCGTGCTGCATCTTTTGATACAAGAGGTTTGCTTAGCTTGTCCAACTCCATGATAGCACTACTAGGACATCAGGGGGCTGCATCGTACCGAAACTCTGAATGCGCCTGGCTTGTATTTGGCTTCAAGCTTCCGTACGAGGTCTCCTGGTCTCTTCACCCAGCGAGTATGCACAAGCGTGAGCACCATGCTCCTGGTGAGTGGTGGTATTGGGTGTTGTGTAGTTTGATTGGAGGTGCGGTCTTGGAACAGTTTCTGGTTCTGAGGTGAAGTTAATGGGAGCCGCCTGCTAGCTTGTTTTGAAATATACGAGAAGATGTTTATTTTATAAGCTTGCAGCAGATAGATGGGTGAGGAGAGAAAGGCCCTTCTTTGTGTCCGTCATGAGGTCTGATGTGGTGGCCGCCCGATGACACGTGTGTGCAGGCAAACAACGCACTAACTCCCTGCCCAGTAGCGCATTGTCTATAAGTCAGGGTGCATGCCTGCGCCGTGGCTGTGCGCTGGTCGGTGGCTCTGCATCTGCCGGCCGGCGCACCAGCAAACGCAGGTCCTATTGTTGGCTGATATGCAAGCTCAGCGCCTCAAACACAGCCGAAATTCTAATGCGGCAAGTTTTACCCAAGGGGGAGGATGATTCACATGAGCCCCTTTTTTGTCGGGATCACATTGACTTTATCCGGCTGGCTGATCCTTTTGTATAGGATACTAATTTTTGAACAGGTTTCCAATGGTTATTTGTTTCGATAGTCGCACGTTGCCGTCCGTGAAATTTAGAATCGGCCGCCACTAGGTGAAAAAGGATCAATGGCCAGGTTTTTTTTTCAGGCCATCAGCCCGTTCAGGCCCCTCTGTCCAGGCCGTCCTGCCCAGTAGAAGTCAACGTGGACCAATGCCTGCGCGCTCAGGCCTCCATGATTGTGGCCTGAGTGGGGCCAAATGTAGCTCGCCTCAGTGCGAAACAAGACCTTGGGCGCCAACATGCCTGGCGCAAGCGTTGCTTCGGCCGCGGACAAGAGAAAAGCAAAATAAAAAAGATATTGATACTGGCAGCGGAACAGTGGGCACGTTTAGGTACCTGGAACGTTAGCCAGCGGATAAATAGCGCGTAAGAGGTCACAGGGCAGCTACAGGCTTCGACAATAAACCAAGAGATCCTGGCTCGTTTCCTCCACTACTTCGTCCTTCCATTAATGAGGGAAAGCTCCAAATCCTCCTTGGCACCACGCTCAGGATCGTCCCCCCTGGTGACCCTCCCGGACTGTTTTCTGGACCACCACATGTATATTGCCAGCGTCAGGGTGGTAAAGACGACAGTGACAAGGAAATACACCCAGAGCTTCGGGGAGGCCACCTCGCCCTCCGATGGGGGATCCCACTTGAAGAAGCTCATGGAGAAAAATGTCTGTCCAATGGCCATGGTTAGCCATCTTTGCTGACGTGTCCACGAGGAACCGACCGAATCGTGCATCGAAAATGCTCAGGGGTCACTCCTTTTTTCCACTTCCATGAGTCAACGATGACAAGCGTTGGACTTACGGCGAAGAATGTTCCGGGAAGGAACACCATGGTGAGGACAGCAATCGACTTCATCTGCCCCCCGTCCTTTTTTGTCTTTTCGGCGATCTCCATATTCGCCCTGGTGTGCGCCTTGGTATTCTCGATGTGATTAGCAGCCCAGCAGCACCCGGCCAACGCAGACCTCCGTCGGACTCACTACTTGTGTAGCCAGGGTCAGGCCTTCCATGGTGAGCATGGACTCGCTGATCATTTCGCGGTATTGGTTGACGATATCCCGCAGCCGCTCCTCGATTCGCCCGCCTGTCGCTCGAAGGTTTGCCCTCTGTTCTTCCTCCGCCTTGAAAGCGTCGAGCTGTGTGTCTTCATAAGGTTGGAGAGTCGTGGGGTTCATGTCTCCCTCGCTGGGAATCTCCCTGGTCTGATAGAGCGTCTGGGATAGCTCCTCAACATGCTCAACCATCTTCTCTAGCTCCCGCTGCCAGGACTCTAGCTTGATCTTGATGACGTGCATGTCCAGCCACGGCTTGATGGCATGCTTGTCTTCATCGCCAGACTGGGGTGCCAACACCTGGTAATCAGCGCCCTCCCCAGTACTGACCTTGGTCACCGTGTCTAGAAGGTGCTCCACAGCCCGGCGGACGATGGCCTGGTGGCGCCTTAGCTCGACCTCGGCGAGAATTCCCACGAGGAGCATTGGGTGGGCCACGGTAGCTTCTGAATTGCTCAGTAGTCCCGTGATTCTATCTCCCGACTTCAGGCTCGAGGTTGGGATCCGCATGTTGCCACGCACGGCCTCATCGTCGAACTCGCAGCCGAAGACGACTGCAGAGGTGAAGCCAGTTCTGGGAAAGTGGGTGGCAGAGAGCGCAATATCACCATCCCAGGCACTCGACGTGCGACAGACATACGCTAGGGTTTTCTACATTTAGCCACAGGCGAAAGCCGCGGGAGGGATGAGAAGCGGCCGCTTCGGTGATAAATCTGTAGTGATGTGAGAACATACCGATTGCGGGCTCGTGAGGATTGCTGATCCTGATGTGAGTCCGCGAGAAAATCGGCCCTGGCCTTTGGATAGCCTTGGTGATGGATGGGTGAACGAGGAATTTTTTGATGATCTCATCAAATGCTACTCTCGAGAACGGGAGCTCCGTGAGGAGCATGCCATCGTTCCCACCGATTTGCGAGCTTTCGTCGTCTCCCGCGGCATCATCCTGGGCTCCTGGGGGCCGCGCTGCCAAGCTTGAAGAATGCTCATCTGTCAGATGCCGGGGTGGCTTGCTGGAAGCGATGTCTTCACAATGATTGAACACATACATGACCCCTATCCCTGGTGTTTGGTGCTGATGGAAATGCTCTTCGTGGAGCCACTGCTTCCATTCTTCCTCTGTTGTGAGTTCCCATTTCTTGGGTACCTAGTGATTTTTTTCGAGTTTAGTATCAGCTTCCCTAAATGCAACGGAGCCGGGGCAAAGAGATGTCTGGCGTACGCTGTCCGAGAGGACCTTTCTCACGACGAGGGACCGGCGCGGCTCGTGGGAAAAGGAGTCCTTGTCCTCTGCAGGAAATTCGAGGTGCGTGTTGGCCCAATCCATTTTCGTGCAGGTGGCCTGATATTTCCAATGGCAATTATTTACGGGCCTGGCTTCTGCTAGCCTGAGCGATCGAGCGTCTGCTTCAGGTCAGGTCTGAAGATGAGGGGCTTGCCTTCCCGTTGTATTTTGTGTTTGCCCATTACCCCCGCACCCTCCTGCACTCTCCCTGGCTTCACGTTTCTGCCTTGGCTGCCCTTCGGGCACAATTCGCGTGACCACCTTTGCATTTTTCACTTTCGTCATGCCCGTGCCCCGTATAGGCGTCGTAGTGTGGCGTTTGTCTCAGTGCCCGACTGGCGCAGCAAAGTGGTCCGCCTGACCTCCATTGCATTCTTGTGGGTTGCCCAAACGCGCAGGCTGAGCTGCATGATGGCACACGCTACGGCCGATAGTGGTATTGAGGCCGGCTAGTGGCATCCCGCTCCCACTAATGCGCCTTATTGCCTCACACCGGCAGTAAGGCTGTCGGGACGACAAATCAGTCGGCCTTCCGATGGGTAACAGGACTGCCATCCTCCACGCTTACTAACAGCACTGCATGCCTAACTCCTTTATGGATGCCTGCCACTGAGGGAGGTAGCCATTGCCGGCAAGTCAGCCCCACACGAGCTCGGAATCCGCATGGGCACAATGTAGCCGGGCAAATGGAGGTGCATTACATTTCTGCAGCAGTAGGCGCACTGCGGCCTGGCCTGCAAGCGGCATGGATAGCTGCAGCCCTTCAGGCAGCTATCTCTCCATCTCGCTGATGCTGCAGCCTTCTGCCATGGGTGATAGAATACCGTTACCTATGCGGCTCTGTCCATGAGAGGGAATCTTGCAAATGATCCATCTGCTTCATGTGCCTTTCGAAAGTTGCATTTCCATCCTGGCAGTGAATCGAAGTATACAAAAGGCAGCGGGGGCCGGCCTCCAAAACTCATGGGGCCGCAACCTTGTGCTGCCCCATCCGTAAACTGGAATCCACCAGATATTACGCGTGATTGTTACTTATACTTTTTCGTGCACACCCCAAAGCCTTACCTTGTCAGAGGCACAAACGTCTGATACGCGTTGGGGCTGCTACCATGACACCATCCCAGCCAAAACTCACGACCCAACATGTCTTCGCCGCCTACATAAAAAAGAACGTCATGAAAGAATGGCTTAAAGAAAACTTCGGCGCCAACTTCAAGGCCACGGTTAGCTGCTTGTTCTCTTCCAAGATTCCTTTCCGAAGCTGGGTAATAATTACTATGACCCATACGTTGTAACCGCGCTTCCATCTGCTAACCTGGATATCCCTTGAACCATTATAGATTCAGAATGGCCACTACCAAATCCAAGCCCCGAGAGAGATCACCAAGGTATGGTTGGGTTTCTTTTAACAACGTCACAAACGCCATTGCCTTTCCACCACCCTCGCCTGTACCAAGCCATAATTCTTGAACTGGTGATGATACGCCATAAGTTAGGCTAGCAAATGGAGACTATAGAGCTATCGCTGAGCGCATGGGTTTTAATACTAACTGCTTCTTACGAACGATACACTACAGGAAGAGATAGCCTACCTCACGAGCAAGCATCACTACATTTCCAACTTTGAGGAGCAGCCCTCGCTGGCCAATGATAACCCCTCGTCTGAGGAAAGTGCCCCCACGACAGCGAATAACTCTCCAACCAGCGAGGGAGGTTTCCCCAACACCAAGTAGGCCATGCGCGGCCGTCGTAGCTCAAGCTGTGGGGAGATGGAGGACGATATATAAAAGAGATCGCTAGGGGATTTAATGGTAACGAGTATTGTGTTATGGGTGATTGCCATTTTTTATGGTCTTCATCTGTTCCTTAAGCACTCAATCCACTCCCTTAACCTCCGCTACCATTGATACATGCCCGGCAGTTACTGCAACCAGTGATTTTTCCAAATCTTCATGGTGGGTTGTCGGCTTTTGCCGTCAGTATTTAGAGTGTTTCCGCGATTTAAAAATCAAATTATCGAGTCTTCTTTAAATCAAGACCTTTATTCCTTCTCAGCTCAAATCCCCAATTCCCAAAACGCCCACAAAAAATGCAGGTATCGAAAGCAGACTCCGTACTCCCCGCCTTTAATTACAGAAAAGGAATGCATATGCTATGGGAGCAGAAAGTTACGAGTGCTCACCTGATATCCAAACCGTGCCTTGCATTCAACTAAGCTCGCACTTCCTCCATTCAAGAGAAACAAGAACAGCATAGACGCTTTAACGTGTCACCCCAGCCTCTCACTCCTTCTTTAGCGGGATGGTAGCCCTCAGGGCGGGTAACCCTCTTTCCCCTAGTCGGTCCCACGTTGGCCGCTGATCCGTCAACGTGCTCCTGTCCCTTGGGGTCGCTGGCAAGCGGTTTTGGGATGGGAATGGCACTAACACTCGGGCCAGCGACATCTGCATCGTCGCGTTGCCGGCCGTGCTCTGCCCCGGCCCCTTGTAGAACGTCGAGGCCCATCGGCAATTCCGCAGTCCCTTGTTCTCTGTAAGGGGTTAAGGGGCGGAACCTTCCACCAGGGGGAAATGACGCAATCTGACTCAGACGCGAGGTAGGCCTCGGAGCTGCCGGCATGGTCAATGTCCGAAGTAGTGCAGACGGCTGTGACGGTGGAAACGTCCGGGCGCGTCCTTTGCGAGCGAGGCTATCGGTGACCGCTCCTTGTTCAGATTCGTTATAGGTCATGCCGTTGGAAGGTACACAGGTTGGCACGCGAGATGACTCGAGCGGCCCACTCCGTTTGAGGCAGTAGTTCAAGTCTGTTTTGCATCTTTGCAGCATTCCATGGAGGCTTTTAGCCACCTGAGGACACTTGGCTCGCGTTTCGCTCCGGACGTCCAACATGTCCGAAAGGATGTAACGGAGGAACTCGTCAAGGAATTCTGAGCAGTCCTCGTGCTGTGTGAGGCGAGCAATCCAGTCTTGCACGGATTTCTTGACAATAGCGGCAACAGGACGGCCCTCTTCAGTCTCCACTTTGAAGAAGGTGTCTTCCTTGATTAGGCTGGAGTCATCTTCGTCCAGCCTTTGCTTCGAGAATTCGAATTTGGTTTCCTCGTGACCAAGCAAAAACCACGAGATGAACTGGATGTAGACACACCCGAGGGTCCAGATGTCATAGGACTGGGCAAGCTTGTTTGAAATGAGAGACTCTGGGGCTTGGTAGGTCCCAGTCATTAAGACCTGGTGCACGGGGACGTTCGATCTCGAGTGACGGCGGTGGAAGTCGCAGAGCCCAAAGTCGCTCACTTGGAGGACTCCGATCGGCTGGCCGCTGCCTGCAGTCTCGGTGCCTGCAGAGAACCAAAGGATGTTTTCAGGTTTGAGATCGCCATGGCGACCGTACTTCCCGCGTGCAGCGTCTGCCGATGTTCGCGATGGGTTGAGGTTCGCAGAGGAGCCAGAGGCTCTGCTTCCGTTAGGGCCAGACAAGTCGGCACCATGTATCCTAGAAAGAGCTGCTGCGATTCCGTGGCACTGCTCGGCCAGCCACCTCAACCAGATCTCGCGAGGCCGATCTTTGGTTAGCTCTGGGCCGTTGACGTGCCTCCTGGTGAAATCCCAGAGGTTGCCATCAGCGCATGGAAAAACTAGGTAGAAGGTTCCTTTCAATTCGTAAGTCCAGAGGAGCTTGATGAGGTGGCGGTCGCCAGAGAAGCTGAACCTCTTCAATGCCTCGACCTCTTTTTGGAACTCTGCCCTATCCGGACGGTGCAACTTCTTGAGAGCGTGAACAAGGTTGTTTCTCTGGTTTTGCGACGAATGTCAGATGGGGCGCATGCTGGGAGGCTGCACACACACTTGGGTAGGGCACCAGATGGAGCTTTCTTACCTCGGACTCGGGCCCAAAGTTATGATGGCTAGGTTCAAACCGCACCCTAAACACGGTGCTGAACCCGCCATTCCCCTCCGATTCCGATTCCGCGTCCGGGTCCAACACTTCTGGGCGGATGAACTCCAAGGGCGGCACAATCTTTGGCTGCAAGACGTAGTGCACTACCTTTGGCTTCTCGCCCTTGACGCGCTCTCGGTCGGCAAAGAATGGCGATAAGAAACGCCACTGGTGAAGATCGAAAAGTTCAGCCTCATTGACACTCCAGTCTTTGCAGCAGTCGATTCGCTCGTTTGGACGTGCCGACAAGCTGAGGAAATCGCCCGATGGCGATTTATGAAGTGGTAGATGAGTGTCGAAGATCCCCTGGTCGATGAAGCAGCCGATCGCGGTCACTTTTGACATCATGACCAAGGTAGCAAAGAGCTTTCGCCGTGTCGACTTTTGGTCGCGTCCTTTCTTCCCCCCATCCAGTATGACCGTGGATGGTATGAAGATTTTCTTGGCCAAGGACTCCGATTCTTCTTGCGACATGCCCTCGCTCTGAAGTACCGCCGCCACGGAGGACTCGGTGACCAGCTCGACCAAGGATGCCCGAGGGAGATACTTTACCATTTCATCTCCCATCGGCATGAGGCTGGTTGTGACCATTTTGTCCCGCAGCTTTGTCGCGAGATCCCGCCTGGTCAAGCCTGGAGCCCTGGACGATGGACGGTCGCCGGAAATCCCTGCAAGAAGCTGGTCGGTGTGTGGCCTTTCATCCTCGGCGATGTTGTCGGTTGATGGGGGTGGGAGGCGTTGCCAAGGAACCTCGGGAGTGCTCCGAGTGGACGGGGTCAAGATATGCTGCTGTGGACTTTCCACGGTGCTGTAGGTGAATTCGTCGCCCAGGTCGCGGCACACATCGCTGCCCTCGGTTTGTGATGGTGGCGCCCCATTTACGGCGCCCACAGCGCTTCGCACCTCGTGGGAGCTATCGTGGCTAGTGTACACGAGAGATGGGAGCGTGCGCTTGGCAGGGGGTTCACTGCTCCCTTCTCGCAAAGGCTGGGGAAAGTCCATGGAGGGCTTCTCGGGAGCCTCCCTTGCCTAAACATCATGGACTTAGTACGGGAGCGCCTCAAACTTGGGGCAGAATAAAGAAATGCAGTTTAAAACGGCATAATGTTGGAATTTTCCAACCATAGGAGCTTCGCGTTGACAGCAAGAATAGTTGGGCAGGAGCGAAGGGGCAAGGGGGGCGAGGGACGCGTGAGGTGAGGGCGCCAGTACTAAGCCGCCGTATAACAAGCGGTGAAGGTAACATACCTGGGGGTGCATTCTGTCCTGAGCTTCCCGTTGTCGAGGTGGAGGGTTGGAATTGTGGGAAAAGAGATAGTAGATTAAATTGATGGCTATGGAGTGGCCTAGGGCGACCGCGCGAGAAATGTGCGCAATCTCGGGCGCGAGTCTATTTTATATACGTCTTAATGAGCGGGCAGGTAGGTACCTAGGTATGCTTGGTGGACGGGGCGATGGACTGTCAAGTTGTGGAATTTTGTGATGGGGATGTCGCTTGGTGGAGGCCTGCAGCCCAGCGGCGCCAGTGCAGAACGCCTCCCTTTCTCCAAGTCGCAAGATGGTCAAGAACTCAACATGTCGCCTGCTTCGGCTCAAACCTATATGTATGTATGTGTGGGATAGTTATTCTCACCGCCGCAGGAACATCGAGTGGTGGTGGGCACAGGGCATACTGACCGCTTACCCACCACCCTTGGAGAGATTTGTGCAAGAAAAGGGCGCGAACATGTAGGGGCGAAAAAAGCAGAGCCTCGCCTGGCCCCCAGCGAGGTCACATCCATCCTAGAGCGCATGGTGGCTGCATACTACTATACGCCTCTGGCGTTGGAGGCCCTATCCGCGACCGACCAGGCCCCCCCTCAGCTCTTCACTTGTGGTGGCGAAGCATAGATTTTGGTCAGGCTCTGGTGCCCGCCGGGAGGGCGAGGCATCCAGCTGAGATGAGTGGACGAAACCCTCCCAATTGCCCTCCTCCCACGCCCCCGACTTTCCAATTGCGAGCAGGACGAATCAGTCGGGCAAGAGGAGCGGCCCCGACGCCTCGAATGTGCAGAAGTGCGACGACCTTCTTTTCTGGCAAAGGAGCGGCCGCAACGCCAGGCGGCAACAAACAGGCTCCGCGCGATTCGGTGATGCATATGTTCTGCGCCATATCACGCAACTGAGTGTCCGGAGTAGTACACAAAATATATGTGGTGGCAGTGCTGGCTCGGCTGCGGCAGAGCCTGCTGGCATGCTCCTGCAGGCAGCAAAGTGCCGTCATCTGCCTTGCCGCCGGCGCCCGTGGGGGGTTAAGGCTGGGAGACCCTAGATAAGTGCCACCCCCTCCACCGCTCATGGAGTTGCCTTTTCGACCTGCTCACTTGCCCACCTAATCTCCCACATTTCAGAGGCTGAAGTTGCTAGCCGTCCCATCACGAAGCATATATCTATCCGACAGGTCTCCTACACGACATACATTCTCTCCTTCCAAAAAAAAACAGCTCGCCTTCAATTCCTACCTCCTTAATCTAGTCCTTTTCCAGGCCCATCGCAGCCGCCAACCGAGCCCGCTCGTGATCTAATGGCACAGGTATCATCATCGAACACCACCTCTGCGCCGACAGCAGACTCTTGTCATTCACAGAAGATTGCGGCCCGTCCAATTGATCCGGTCAGGCTTCTACGCTTCCTTGATGACCGGTTCGGGGAGGGCCAGTATAGCGTAGTGGTTCGACTGTTCCTCGCCCCCATCCTATGAGCCCACTCTCCTGAGGAAAGACCGACTAACACTGTCCTTCGCTCAGATGCAACATGACAAGTTCAACATCAGTGCCAAAGGCCTCAGTGCCAAGGGCCGGCTAACACCTGTACGTTTATATTCCCATCTCCCTTTCCGCGATGCCCTCCGCATGGTTGTTTTCACATCTACTTCCATCCGGGTGCTAACGCCGTCCTGGTCCAGGCGGAGATCAAGTCAGAGTGCTTCCACGACGCATTCCGCATTTGAAAGTGCTTTCGTTTCTTCCCATCACACTCCGCATCAGAAGCGACTGCCCCTGCCCAAAAGACAGGCTTGCACAGCTCCTGGCCTCGGCACGAACGCGGCACTCCATCAGCCCTGTTGCTCACGGCGTCGACACACATCGCCCTACAATGTCCGACGCCTCGTCTTACTTGCTTTCTCATACATCTCGCTCCTTTCTATACCGATGCCATCTTATACCTCCATTTGGACGGTTGGTTTAGGTTGACGGGTTAAGAATGTACCAGCGCACTCAGCAAGGCCGCAGCGCCCGGTGGGCACGGAATGAGGTTGAGAAGGCCCCGGTACCTACGTTGAGCACTCCTCTGTCTGCCCTCAACGCCCAATGGGAGAGCCTCCGCCCTCTGTAAAGGCTAAGCCGGCTTTGGACGGGCTTTTCACTTCTGTCGCTTTGTTTTTACCTTTCCAAACCCCTTCAATGTGATTTCCGGTCCAACAGCGTCCCTTTTCTTCCGTCGATTACAAGTAGATACACGAGACCATGACATTTCTTCTCTTTCCTTTCTTTACTTTTCGTCCGCCGGAATTCTCTTTTCCTTTCTTTTCCGTCGTTAGACGATGTCAAGTCCCACGGGCACCTTTCTTACCACAAGGCGAGTGGGCGGATGCGGGCTCAGTCCGTTCCAATGCCTATGTTATCATTCTATCTAGTTTTTTCGTCGAAATTAATCGACGCAGAGTATTGCTTTGTCCGGTTGTTCCCTGGGGTTTCAGGGGTGAGTAGTCGTTACTGTTCCACCTTCGATGCTTCCTTTGCCGTGCTTCTCTTCCAACAAACCACGGCCTCAACCAGGCACGGCCCACCTAGTAAACCCTTTCTGTAACACAACCAAGACCGCCATAATTCCCGCTGGCACGATGCCATCACATTCAGGTCTTCTTACGCTTGCTGCTGCCCTCTCCCTTGCCCTTCTCTGCGGCCCTCTTCTTCGCACTCTCCTCTTTCTTCTGCTTCTTGATCTTGGCAGAATCCAGCATGGCCTTTGACACCTTTGCCATGCTGTTCTTTTGTATATCCTCCATAGACGGCATTGTGGGCGTTGGTGCTGAGGTTTTTGCACAAGTCAAAAGCGTTCAGGATATCGTGGGATTTCTAGGGAGCATGGGCTTCTGTGAATGCCGTGGATGGTCGCTTCCGATGGAACGAGGGACAGCGGGAGCAGGCCAGTTGCACGAGCGACCGAGCTATAAATTTGGGTGCTGCACCAGTGACGCGTAGCGGAGTGTGTGTCTGCTGGTCGATTCCAAAGCGTGGCACGACTGGTAGAGCCATTCTCGTTTTTATGTAGCCTCGTTAAAGATGAATCACACGCCGTGAGTTAGGTTTTGGACGATGGAAAATGGGACATGGAGTGACAAGCGGTTGTCCCCCAGAGTCACAAAATCAGCGAACGTTGTGATGATATCACCCGCCCATCGGCTCCCAACGTGACTGTGCTTTCCATGTCAATTGCACGAAGGCCAACCGCTAGGGTAGGCACAGTCCGGCGTGCTGGAACTGGGCAGCTGATAGAATTACCCCCGATTAGCCAATCTAGCGAATAAGGGGACAAATGGCCAGGCCCGACCCGATCTGTGAACAAAAAGCTTACCGATTGGCCCGAGACGCCATCATCATAGACTCCCTCAAGAATAGCGGCGCCAGGGCCATAGCCACCGGCCAAGCTCCCGCTGCCGGGGCCGGGGCCGAGGAGCAGGACTACGGCGATAAGGACAGGCCTGGCTCCCAGCTCCATTCCGCCGAAAAGCTACTCGAGCACCAAAGATTTAAGGTGACGGTGCTGTGTTCTCTTGATGTGCAGTGAAGCAGCCGATAGAAGAGCAAAGGGCGGCACAGGGAAAGCGCACAAAAAGTGTCAAACCATCAGTACGTAGCGTCGCTACCAGATCTCAAACTCCCTTTTCAGCCCCGGCTTCTTCAGAGAAGTAGGTCTCGGTCAGGCTTATGAGCTTGGGATAGAGCCCAAAACAGCCGGAAGTCAGCACCCGGAGCCCATCCCCCACGTCAGCAGCATCACAGTCGCGACTTTGCTCGTCAATTAGTGGGCGAAGCACCGTGAGCTCCGAGGTTCCCCTAAGGGCAACGACGCGGTCGCCCCGTGCGGGCAGCCAGGCGCTCAGGCCTCCTTCATCCTCCATGTACTCCTCGTCGAGATGTAGGTAAATCGAGTGCTCAAAGAACCGGATCAATGTCGGCGCGCACGCCACGGCTACTTGCCAGTATGAATCTGTCCGAGCATCTGGAGTAGCAGGAGCGGTAGGGACAGCTGGGATGGTCGTCTTGCTTGGGCTGGAGCCCGCCCCTTTAGATGCCGCCGCGGAATCCTCATGGGCATCCAGGAGGGCGAGCAGGCCGCTCTTGTCGTGATCTTCGTCTAGAGCCAAGTTCTCCAGGAAACCCCCCATGACGGCGCGGCATGCCAGACCTCCAGCTCGCGCAGACGGCCGGATGATCGTGGCTAGGAAGGTCTCCCACGCGGATAGGAGTTTGCCCTGCGCCGCGGCGTCGAGGTCCGTCCCGTCGCTCATCTCCTGTCCCAGAGGCTCGAAATGCACCGCCTCCACGACGCCGACCTGGGCGCCGCGGGCGATGATGCACAGGCCGCCCTCGGCAAGGCGGACGACGCTCCTGGTGTGCGGGGTCTCGAGGTTGAACATGGTGTTGGTGAAGTCGGGCACCCACGACGGGTAACCCCGGAACCCGTTGGGTCGGAGGCCAACCACGTCCAGATACCCGGACCACTCCACGAGGAACCCGGCGTAGCTGAGGGCGACTTCGGCAAAACTTTGCCCGTAATCCGGCTGCAGCCCGCGCGGCAGGCGGCTGGGCAGGGTCACGAGGCCCAGCAGGCCGTAGATGCGATCGCGGGGATTCGTCGCAAGCCGGTCGCCGTTGAAGGTGTGGAGGAGCGAGCGGAGCTGCGCGGCGAAGGTCCTGAGCTCGCCGGCTACGCTTGCGGCCGGGCTGCTGCTACTGCTGGAGCTTATGCTGTTCAGGTTGCGCTCCAGCTGTCCCGATACGACGGTTTCATGGCCGGAACCGTCCGTCCCTCCCAGGACTGACGGTCTCAGATGACCTCCATCTGCCGCGAGCCGCTCCGCAAGTATTAGGGTATCGCGAATGTGCGTCATCTGGAGGCTGGCTTTTAGGGTGCGCTCTATCGTTTTTCGGAGATTGGGGGCCCTGTAGATTTCCTTAAGACCGAGATACAGTAGGCCGAGCTTCCTAAGGGTAGTTTGGCTGCAGCCCAGGAGGACGACTGGGTCGACGGGTGGGAGCACGGCTTCCTGCAGAGTCCAGACGCGCCTGAAGTACCTTGTGACGTACGGGTAGATCCGGCGTCCCATGGTGTCGGCAAGCTCGGCAAGCTCGGGGCCAAGCTCCTTTGCGAGTTCGCGTCGAGCCGGAGCTGGGATCTCGCTCGCCTTAAACATCCCCGAAAGGCTAGCGCCCAGCCGGGCGCACACGTCGTAGCTTCGTTCCGCAGCGCTGGCGGCGCTGGCGCAGAGGCGCCCGAACTCCTCCTCCCTGCCTTTCCAAGGGTGGACATGGAGACCGACCGGGGCGTCCAGCCAGATGATGGTGCGGGTCGCCAGCGAGTAGATGGCGCGCATGCGCGGGACCTGCTCGGCCCTCTCGACCAGGTCGGCCTGGTTTATGCACAAGGCGTCAACCCACCAACAAACCTGGCCTTCGGCCCAGGGCGCAGCGTGCTCCCAGCCATTATGCGGCCTGTTAGCGCTCAGCAGCAGCGAAGCTGGCAGCTCTGTATCTCTGGGCCGTCGACCAGGTTTAAAGTGGCACCTTAGGTAGATGAGTGCCTTCCAGAGGTTGATGGTCACAGGAAAATCACGTCCGTCGAGGGGTATCGTTTTGGTATCTGTGGCGTCCCCCCAGACGTAGGACAGGGCAAAGAAATCGGCAGTTTCGCCCAGCGGCACATGCGCCAGAGTGGCGTGTACGGGAGCTTCGGCGTCGAGACGATCGAGGGGAGTGAGCTTGATGACGCGAATTTCGGACCCTTGAAGGGGTTTGTAGATTCCTTGCGAGTCGGCCAGGACATTCATCGCGCGCAGACAAGCACTCAAAACCACAAGCTGCAAAACAAAACTTCATGCTGAACAAATGTTAGAAATCGCCACACGAGTTGACCACCCTTGAAAGGGTGATGTGCAGCTGATCAGACCTAATGGCCAAAAGATAAAGGAGCACAGCCGCCTTACCTAACCCTCTGAGTGCCGTTGAACCACTGGTTGCGAACCAGCCCAATTAGGCCAATGGTTTTTTTCATCATAGATAAATTCTGGGATACCTTCCTTTTCCAGGAGGTCGGGTTTCACAGCACCGCATCGAAGGGGATGGATTCGAAAGTTTCAAGACATTTTATATTGATAAGACGAGAGCCAAGGCCCGATAAAGGGTGGGATATTTACCGCGCCCTCAAATGCAGGAGGCAACAGCCGAAATAAGTCGCAGATGGAAAAGAGAAACCATAAAGCGGGTGCCAACGTTTGACGAAAAGAAAGGCCCGACGGGACACCTAAGTGATGTAGCGGAAGCTGGGGTGCTTGAAGCCGAGCTTGTCCTGCTCCTCCTCGGTGAGGCCCTCGAGCCTGTGGTCCCGCTTGCCCGCGGCGCGCAGCTTGTTCTCCCAGAGGCAGTAGAGGATGCCGAAGATGGAGAGGCAGAAGACGAGGATCTGGCCGACGAGGTTGATGGTGTGGCCGGTCGGGAAGTTCGGCCCGTCGGATCCGACATATGTCCATCTGGGGAAGGTTGGAATTCTCACGTCAGCGATGGGATGTTCGTTCTTGGGCATTTCTGTTTGGGGCCGAGAGGGAAACTTACGTGGAGACGATGCCGCCAATGGTGCCGAGGGTAACGACGTAACCGCTGGAAACGGCGCGGACGGCAGGGCCTGCAGAGTCTGGTTGGTGAGGAAGTGATGGTCAGCAGGCAGTTCGTGGGGATCCGGTGTCGCACGGCATAGGTGACGGCTGCATGACGTACTGTTGATGGCCCAGGCCAGAAACGCCGGGCCTCCGGGGAAGGCGCCGACAGTGATGAAAAAGATGGCCATGTACTTGATGTTGGGGTCGGTGTGGAAGCGCAGGATCGAGAAGCCGATGAGGGCGATGATGGCAAAGATGGCCAGGTAGATGCCGCGCTGCTTGGTCTTGTCGCTCAGGTAGGCGATGAGGATGGCGACGACGCAGGCGGCGACGTAGGGCGGCACGCTCATGAGCTGCGACTTTGTCGAGTCGTAGCCGAGACCCAGGGACAGGATGGTGGGCATGAAGACGGACAGGCCCTGGACGGTGATGTTGATGAGGAAGAAGCCAAAGGCGCACGTGTAGTTGTGCAGGCAGAAGATGGCCTTCTTGAAGTCGGCCCAGGTGACGTGCTCCTCGGGCTTGCCCTTCATCTCGCGCGAGAGGCGCTCGGCGGCGATGCGGCGCTCGCGGTCGTTGAGGAAGTAGGCGTCGCCGGGGCTGGTGGGCATCCAGATCGGGGCGAGGAGCCCGAGGATGCAGGTGAAGAGCCCTTCGAAGAAGAAGATGTTGCGCCAGGTGTGGATGCGCATGGCGGCGATGCCCCACTCGGGGACCCGGGCCAGGCCGGCGGCGAGGAGGCCGCCAAAGGCGCCGGCCATGGACGCGGCCGAGACGTAGATGCCGATGCGGAACAGGAGCTCGGAGCGCTTGTAGAAGCAGCTGAGGAAGAAGGCCATGCCGGGCATGGCGCCGCCCTCGAAGATGCCGAGGACGGCGCGGGCGACCATGAGGCCCTCGAAGGACTGCACGAAGGCGGTGCAGAGCGAGACGAAGCCGAAGCCGACGACGAGGAAGGGCAGGTAGAAGCGCGGGCCGACGCGCTTGAGGATGATGTTGCTGGGCACCTCGACGAGCAGGTAGACGATGTAGAAGATGGACAGGCACCAGTTGAAGCGCACGCCCACGTTGAGGTCGAGGTCCTTGGCCAGGCCCTGGATCCGGGCGTTGCCGATGTTGATGCGGTCGAGGAAGCAGAGGAGGTATAGGACCGTCACGATGGGGACGCAGTGCCAGTCGATCTTGTGCCTGATCCGGGTCTCCTCCTCCTCCGTCCACGTAAACTCGGATCCGTTCTCCGAGTCGGACTTTATCGAGCCGCCTGGGGCCTCGACATGGCCGGATACTTGCTCTGCAAGATATGGTGAGGGTTTTGTTAGCGACTAGGTGCTGATGGATATTCTATGGGAAATACTGCACGGTGATGCTAACCTTTGCTGTCAGACATGATTGCTGTAACGGGGAAGCAAGAGTGTGATGGGTGCTGCCGTCTGTCCACACAAGACCAAAGCCAGGCGCACAGCAAAGCGCGTCTGGGCGAGAGAATGGATGAGTTCAGGACCAGAACCTGAACGGACGGCTGGGGAAAACAAATCCCAAAGGATCAGGGCAAGGACATCCGTCTCCCTTTAAACGTCGAGCCCGAGGAGGGTTCAGTCGCAATTTACGGAGCGCACAGCACGGATCTCTAGCTGCGTCGCATTCGCAATACTACTCCATGGCAGCGCACCCAGCATGTGGAGGCCTTTGCCGAGACCTTTTCGAGGGTGGTATCCCTGGATCTCTCCGGCCGGGGGATGGTGCAGATTCGAGCATGGAGGCCGAGCATGGAGGCCGAGCATGGAGGCCGAGCAAGGGCCCTGTCCCCGTTTCCCTTTTCCCCCAATGACTCTCCGTACCCAACTGTGCATGGGGGGAAGGAGCCAATATGGACGGCAGGCCGGCGCCAGCATGTCATGGGGGTCTGCCAAGGGCATTGGCACCCACCCGGAATGGGCTTCGGCACATGCTTTCGCGGCCAAAATGACCAATGAGGCCAAGAACAGGCTGAGTTTGCCAATAAAAGCGCGGGGTTGTTGCGGGTCGCGCCCCTTTACTTTTTTTTATTCTTTTTTGTTTTGCCCCCACTCGACGGTGTGCTTGCGTTCTGGCCAAGGGGACCAACCAAGACCAGGGATGGGCTTGACCATGGATCTCGACCCGTCGTCAGCCCCTCCCGCCGTTCTGGGGCACAACGCCGCTAGACAGGCAATCCCCTCACATCAAGAAGGAGCTAAACCCGACCACATGGTGACGAGACCCAAGCCGGCCCCTCCAGTCGGCATTCCATCACGGTGGGTGTTTTTTTTTCAGCCCTCTGACGGCATGGCATGCTTGGAGATGGATCCAGACGAGACCAACCTCCAAGAGTGGCATAGGAAGCTGGGCGTAGCAGAACCGACAAGCGCGGCGCAGCGGCCGGCAGTGAAGTCGACAACTGCCTCCTGGGCAGCGCTGGCTGGGGTTCGGTCGCATCGATATTGCCGAGCAGCCTGTGTGTGCCAGCCAACCAGATTGAGAATAGCTTCGCGCGCAGGACGCGCTGTGCTGGGGAGGGGCATCCAACGGAGAAATCACGGGCTGTCACTCCGCGAGCCCTCGGACTGAGCGGAATAGTGAATATAGACGAGTGGGATGATGTTGGTGACTCGGTGTTCGTGTTAATCAATGCAGGAGAACAAACAGGAGCAACAGCACGGCATCCAGACAATGCGATACTTGGTCGCGAGCGCGCGGCGTAGCATCGCCACCTGCGGACTGAACCAAGTGGTGTCGCCGTCGTTGGACCAAGAGGGGCACAAGAATGTGTGGAAGGATTCATCACGCAGAAGGCTCGGGAGCGCTAACGAACCGAGCGAACGAAGAACCACGTGGCGAACGACAGGACGTTTCCAGTCATACAGCACAGCCCATCCACGCATAAAGTTCCAGAACATGGTAAAGCCAACCGACATTGGCCGTCTTTCTGGTCGGGAGATAAGGTAGCAAGCAGGTAGAAACCACCATGGGTGCCCGTCCATCTCCCCCCTGCCTCTCCTGCCTCTTGCATCCAAACGCCATAGGGCTCCTGTCAATGCAATCAAAAACATGTCTTCTCGGCTAGGTGGGTAGGGTCTGGGCGTATTTACCCGCCAACCCGCAATCCCCTATCGGCCCACATTGCATGGAGGAGCCTACGGAGGCATGGGTGCGGCGCGGGTCTGGCAGGAAAACCAATAATCTCATGGCCCCCTGCGAGCGTCACCGACCGGGCCTTTATAGGTCGGCAGGTGTCCCAACAAACGCGGCCTTGCATGGCGAGGGTAACAGCAGTGACGGGTCGCGGCCATTCTGCCATTTGGCCGTCCGTCTATCATGTTTGGCCGTTGATCCGTCGTCTGGCTGGCAGCCAACCGTGGTTCTGGTATCGCCTGGATGACTAGAGCTTTCGTTTACAAGGTTGAATAGGTGCCCGATGAATGGCCACAACACAGACGGGCTTTGCTTCTGCCTAGGTTGTTCGCTAGTCGGAGGCCGGCCCGAGTTTGCACAAGCCTCTGTTTTAGACATGTAGCAGCGACTGTTGATATCTGCTATAAATTGACAGGCCCACCTCAGTGCAGACACTCTGCTTGTTTTGCTTTGTAATCCTCGACATGCGCTCTGCATATAGCTCCCAGTGATACGGCGAGGTGTAGCAAGATTGGGTTGTCTGATCTTGCGTGCCATCGTTCAAACGATTTCGTAAATAAGATTCTGTGCCCAAATAAGGTTCAGCTCGCCCAAAGAATCGTCCTTGATCGAGTAACAGACTGACGGGTGCGGGGTGCGGCCCCTCCCCCACAGTCGTCTTTACTTTACGACGACAGCGGGGGCCAGGGAATTGCGAGATGACGGACCCATCGCACTGTGCCCCATTGCTCTTGATATTGAGGGGCTCCAAATACCCAAAATGGGGAAAGACTGGATCTCTGGGGTCTTGGCTGGGGCTGTGTCTTGCAACAGGAACTCTATCATGACGGATGTTTGTGTCGGCAATGGGTTTCGTGAAACGCGTGCATAGCCTCAAGGTTTGATGGGCAAACCCCCTCCTCCCCAAATACGACCCGATCAAAGCTGCCGGATGTGCGTAATGATGCCAAAGCTGCTAAAAGCTGCTAGCGTGCCATTCACATCACGTAACACAATTCCTCCTCACTCGCCCCTGGCGTCGAGCCAGCCTCCCTCGTCGGCAATTTCCGCGACCCTTGCGCCGTCCGACGCCTTCTCCCACGTCGAGGCGCGCCACAGGAACGCGCGCCAGTCGGTCCCCGCCCGCATCTCCTCCATCACGTCGCCGCGCAGCCAGAACCGGGCCGTGGCCGTCTTGCAGTCGAGGCTCAGCGTCGTGACGACGTGCACGCCGCCCTCGCGGGTCCTGCGCGCCGCCGACGCGTCCCCGCCCCGCTTCGCGTCGTCGTCGTAGTTGTCGTTGTCGTCGTCGCCCAGTAGCAGCCGTCGCAGGCCGCGCCGAGGCGGCGCGATCGTGCCGTTGCCCGCGGCGTCCCAGAACACGAGCGTCAGCTGGTCCCCGCGCTGCTCGTACGGCGTGGGGAGCCCACCCAGCTTGATGCTGTAGCGCCGGATCAGCTCTAGTGGCGTGGGCGCGCTGCTATTGCGGCGGCGGTCCTCGGGGGCCATTCCCTGCTTCCCTCCGCCGGCGGCAGCGGCGGCGATGATGCCAAACGGGAATAGCGGCCGCCAGAGGCCCACGAGGGTCGTCAGCTCGGCCCGCCAGGGCGCGACGCACAGGTCGGCTCGCGGGTGCGCGGCGCGCGCGCTCTCGGGCTCGCATACCAGCTGCCGCGGCGCGCGCGCCGTCGTGCTCACGGTCCCCGAGCACCAGGCCGCGAGGACGCCCGAGAGCCAGTGCGCCGGGCACCCGGCCCCGTCGCGGGACCCCATGTGCGCGGCCAGCCGCAGCAGCGCCGTCAGGTTGAGCGGGGCACACACGGGCATGGGGCTCTCGGCGGGCCGTGGGTGCGGGAGCGCGACCTTGAGCAGGTGCGCGTGCATGAAGTGCTCCAGGGCGCCCCGCTCGAGCGGCGGCGGCCAGCGGGCCGACCTTTTGGCCACGGGCTCCCACACAATGTAGTCGTCGGCCAGGAACGGGGGGCAGCCCTGTGCCATAATCATTTCGAGGCGGCCGGTCTCGTCGCGTGGCGGCCGGCGGTCCATGGCGAAGTTGGCTTTGATCTGCTGCGCGTCCGGCATGAGGAGGTACTCGGCCTGGAACATCTCGTGCGTCTGGAATATGGGCGGGTTGAGCAGGACGTTGTACCGCATGTTTGACGCCTTATCCTCGCGCAGAAGCGGCCGGCCGTGTAGCGCGACCGTGAATAGCCCACCCACGTAGTCCCTACGTTCAAGCAGTCAGCACGCAAACCTCCCAGGTTGCCCAATCATCGGTGGCCACACGGGGATTTTAACCACCTGGCAAGACTGACGGGACGTTGCTCATGTGTATCCTGTCGTACGAGGTCTGAAACTTCCTCGGGTCGGGCTCCTCGTTCGTGGCTGGCGGCAAGCCCCGGTGTTCCAGAACCCCATGCCGCATGCGCTCCATCACGTCACCCATCTCGCCTGCGATCATCTCGATGGTGATCCGCCCACCGAGATGGATGAGGGATAGCGACAGCGAGCTGAAGAATGTGATTAGGGCGTCTATCGCTCCGTCCCACTCATCGGGGCTCTTCGTCGGAACGCCGCTGCCAAGGGCAGACGCGATGCCGACCGGGTTGGGGTCGGACCAACAGGACGGTTTGAACCTTGCGATCCAGTCCCCCTTCTCCTCCCTGGTTCCGTTACGCGGGAACCCCGGCGCGGAAACAAAGGTAGCCTCGAGCGCCTCCTCCCAGGCAACATCAATGAACGTGGGGTTGGGAGTCCAGGTCGCCGCGAGATACTCCTCCAGCTTGTCCCTGGCTCCCGGCTCGCCTTTCCTGTAGGCCGCAAGGAGCGGGGACAGCGCCGGCTCGCGCCGCGATATGTAATCCTCCGAGGCGAAGATGGCCATGAGATCATCAAAAGTCTTGCCGTCGGCGTCAAGACCGCCGATCTGCCCTGTCTGGGGCTGGGCGTCCTTCCCGTCTCTCCGGGCGCCGGCCCGTGTCCACTTGCTCCGGAACTGTAGAGGCAAAGGCGCGTTCCACTGCCGCAGGACCTGCAGCACCCGGCTGCGTGTGTCGGGAGAGATGTAGAGAAACTTGAGAAGTGCTTCTCCCTCCTCCAGGGCCTTGATCAAGGACTGGAGCTGTCCTTTCAGCTTCGCCACGACGAAGGGCGGAAGGAAAGGAGAAGAGAAAAGGTAGGACATGTTGACTAGGGCGTGCTCGTGTCCTGGCGTCTTGGCGACCTTCATTATGGCAAATTGCTGCGCCATATCAAGTATTATGAGTGTGCGTGCCAGCGCCGCAGGCTTAAGGTCCAGCATGGTAATGTGGATCTTGGGCTTCGAGTTGTTGAGCTGGCCGAGGAGCCAGTACGATATCATGGTTGTAAAGACATTGCGAGCATCTCCCGAGCCACAAAACATGAGGCGCACGTCGGTCTCCTGGGCTACGTTTCCACCAGGGCCAATATCAATGAGGGGCTCTGGGGTGTCGTGTCCGTCGGCGTAGTATTCTGGCTCGCCCGTACTTGGTATTGCAAGCGTCAAGTCAACCACTTGTTCACGCGGCCCCTAGGCATCTGGGCAGGCACACGTGGTGAGACCCAGCGGGCTGGGGGCTCTGCTCACAGGTTTGGGGTATATCGCGGCAAGCGGTCCAGAACCAGCCTTCTCTGAACTTGGACATCTGGGACCGAAGCCCATAGAGCCTGCATTTGGGCAATATCATCCCGGAGTGCAGCAGCCTCGTCGGATCCAGAAGCTTCGAGAGCCTCCAGTGCACTGGCTACTCCTTGCAGGTCGAGGCCGTGGATGTGGCACTTGACGGCACGGCTCAAGAGCCGCCGCTTCTTGGGGCTATCTTGGGGTTCCGCGGCCGAAAGGGCGATGGCTTTCTTGACGAAGACCAGAGACGCCGCATAATCACCCTTTTCGAAGAGGACGGCCGAGATATTAGACAGGGGCGACGGGTCATCAGGTGCAAGTTTTGCAGCTTCTTTGTAGGCCTTTTCGGCTGGCGATGGGGGAGGTCGCGTTAGCTCGGGTGAGCACATTGCCCATTGCCCACATGAAAGGTTGCAGGGTCAGCCCCCGAGAACCCCCACTTACCTTCTGCCAGATTCCCTTCCTTGTACAGTTTGTTGCCTCTCTCACGCGCCAGCGCCGAGGGGCTTTCGGTGCCTTCCGAAGCCATTGGAATCTAGGCTGACAATACTGCGCTATTCACGCTCGGATTCGCTCTGCACGATACGCAAAAGCGCGGGGGCTTCTATTGGGAATAGTGGAGGTCTCCAGGCGGCATTTCCAACAGGTCTGCGGAGGGAGGCAAGCGATCACTGCTGAGCTCCACCGCGTTTGATGCAAGCCAAAGCTACGTGCAGGGGTCATGTCAGGACGTCATTGCTGCAGTACCAACAGCAGGAGGTCCCCCTCCTTGGCCTTCCTGACCGCAAGTTGGAATCCTCCATACTCTGTACAGTGCCCGTCCGAGGAGTCCACTCGAGATGGCGACCAGACACGCAGAAACAAAGGCAGCAAACCGCAAAAGACTGTGGCGTCGCGTCTCGCTTCAACCAGCTCTAACACTGTGCATGATTGGGCTGGTGCTGCACTTGACCAGGCGGCCGTTGTCCCCGCGCCAGCCAATGACCTTGAGCCCGCCAAATGACTTCTCGACCGACGCGCTCGCCTTCTCGCGCGCGAAGAGCGTGCGGACCGCCCGCCGCTGGCGGAGCGACATCCTCCGCTCCTTGAGGTAGCGCTCCACGAGTCGGGACCCGACAAACGACCAGACGTTGAGCTTGAAGGGCAGCACGGCCGTCTCGTGGTACAGCTGTCGGCACACGCCCGAAAGCAGCGTGACGCCGCTGTAACCCCGGCTGCTGCCGACGCCGGCCAGCGCGGCCTCGCTCACGTTGCTACCGCTGTGCGCCTCCCGCCCTTTGTCCATGTCCGAGATACTGTGTTCCCATGGGCTCTGGCCGGCCGAGAGTGTGCGGCAGTAGAAGCCGGTCCTGGCCCTCCCTCTGGGATCCCATGGGCGGTAGGCGATGCTGATCTGGCCGACGGAGAGCAGCAGTTCGTAGATGCGAAGGCGCAGTTCCGGCGGGAGCCTCAGGAGGGGGGAGATTTGACTGTTCTGTTCGTATCTGGGTAGTTGGAGCGGCGGCGGTGGGGGTTGGGTCAGCTATGCGGGACTCGGTGTTCTGTGCTCTGCTGGGCAGCCAGAGAAGGCCGACTCACATCCGGTGCTCATTAGAAGATTCCGGTGGCACCTGTTCAATGCCCCGGCGAACGCGTTTCCGGCATGATTTGTTTTGCATGCCCTGGCGGAGGCCAAGTGAGAGAGAGGAGAATGGACGGAAACTCAGGTTGTTGTCTCGTTCACGGCTTTGAAGGGATCGAGCTGGATATCAATTGATGGCGCTGGAATGACCGCTGAAGCACTGGAACGGCCCAGTGCTGCTTATAGGAGCGCGCTAAGCGATATTGGGTAAGCCCGGTTGCACAGCTTGGGTGACTCTCAGCGCGGACAGGAAAACCTTCACCTCCACATCGAATGCCCCTCGTACAGGCGAGAGATGGCAGCACGTTTGGTGTCCCGCCATGACTTGCTGTCGCACAAGAAACCCGAAGCCATGCCAACTTGGACGTGCAACCTGCTCGCGGAGATAGGCGACATCCCGAGGGCGAGATGAGTGCGTAGAGTTCGGGGCCACGATCATCTTGCGGTGGCAGTTCGCATACGATCGATCCCCTGGGCTCCACTTCTTTAGGCGCCTTGCCCCAACTGTAACGGTTTTTGGGTCGCACACCGATACAAGACTGCGGTTGACCCCCGCGACCTTGGAGCGACGGGAGCTGGTGCTTTGACCAGGAGAGACGACCAAACTCGACGGCCGACGACATGCCAAACGCACACCTGGCCAATGTCTCGGCCGAGATCCGCAGCCTCATCCTCGCAGAGCTCCCCAAGGAGGCCCTCCTCGCCTGCCGCCTAGTCTGCAGGATCCTCTCGGCCCATGCCACCCCGCTTGCCTTCCGCCATGTGCTGCTTAGCGCTCGCCATGCCGCCAGCGCCGACGCCTTTGTGCGCATTTCCGAGACGGAGCACCTGCGCCGCCTCGTCCAGGAGGTGACGTGCGACACGTACGTCGGCGATTGGTGTCGCTACCGCGGCGGCAAGGGCTATAAGCCCCCCGCCGCCTTCCTCGCCGCCCTGCCCTGTCTGCGGCACCTGCGGGGCCTGCGTGCCTTGAACATATTCTTTAGCAGGTACACCGCCCGCCGCAATGTCGGCATGCGGTTCCCGACCACACTGGCGGTCGCCGAGACGGCCGACTTTCGCTTCCGCGTGCTCCATACCGTCTTCCAGGCCCTGCGGGGGACCTGGGCCAGGAAGATGTGGATCGCCCTGGCGCTTGATCTACATCTCCAAGGGGATGGTGTTGACCCCGTCTTATATGACGGAGACGGGGTCGGAGAAGGGCCTATTGAGCTCGAGTCTCTCGCCATTTCCAACCTGTCGGACTTTTTCGACCGCCGCCTCACTCGCACGCGTGCATTCCACGAGGTCCTGGCCTCACCATCGTTCAAATCACTCAAGCTTCTTTTCACACATTGGGAAAAGGAGATAGAACCCGAGCTCAGGCTCGAGCTGCCCGATCTATACGAGGCCTATCAGAACCTCCCTCTCACTTGGCTAGAGCCCGGCGTGGCTCGGAACCTCACGACTCTGTCCCTTTACGACCGTCACTACTTTGGCTGGTGTCCAAAGCTGGACCTGCGGCTTGTTGGCGGCTTGCCAAATTTGCGTGTGCTCGCGCTTGGCAACTACGTCTTTTCGCACAACTGGCAGGTAGATTGGGTTGCCGGCCTGCGCAGCCTCCGAGAATTGTATCTCGATGACTGCCCAATCCTCTGGCGCGCCATCGTCCGTCCTCCCCTCGACGATGAGAACTACCCAACTGCCGACGCCTTCAGCGCCGATCCCAACAACGACAGGATCGAGCTCGGCCTTCCGCTGCGCTGGCACGCAGTCTTGGCCCGCTGGCGCGACGCCCTCGCTGGACACCTGCGCGTATTCTCCATGGGTTCCGGCGATTGGGACGGCAAGGCGCAGCCGGACGAGCAACACAACGACGACCTGGCCGGCCGGCGAGTATTCTTGACGTACGATCAACCACCCCCGTCTCTACCGAAGTCCCTATCGGCACGTGGGACTCCCGACCCCTTCATCTCGGCCCGCTATGACGGCGGGGTTGGGCTGAGACGAGCGAGGGAGAATGTGCTACAATACGTACAGTTCAACGTCGACAGGTGGGTTGAGAGGGACGCAGGCGTCCTACTCCTGGACGACGACGAGATCGGCATCCAGTTTGGAGTCCACACAAGAGCCCTGGATGAGGCGGCACTAGAAGACATGCGTATGTCGTTGACCAAGGTCCAAGTCGTTGACATCTGACCGGCTGGGAAACCCAAGTTTGTGCATGTTATCGGCCTATTTCAAGGATTTGCCTCCCAGCAAGCAGACTATCTCTTCGATGAGCGCCCGTCCACCGTGAGATTCTCAGCACTCGGGTGCGCCTTGAGATGTTGCCTTGTCCAATGACCGACTGTATGGTTCGCCGCCATGCCTCGTATCGCGTTTGTGATTGTATAGCGGCCGAGACAAGGGCGATGACCCGCATTCAAGGAAAAAATACGGCGCTCCCACTCTGCGGGTTGCGGTGTGTGTTATCCAAGAGAATGTGGCACATGGCGGCTAAATATTACCTGCTGCGTGACGTCTCGATACACTATCCCAGAGCCACCAGGCCACTGAGCGACAGACGCTGCAGCGGCCGATCTTTCCCGATAGCGGCTGTCACAGCGCGCTGCGTCTGTGCTTGGGTGGTGGCTGGTGTCAGAAACTGCAGCTTGTGCGGCGGCCGAGGACCGGCGATGCTGTTCATAAGTCCGAAATGGAGTGGCATACTGGGAAACCGCCGGTGGCAAATCACAATCACTTGTACCCCATCATCCCAGGTCTCAGCCTTCTGGGGCCACAAGGCACAGCAGCGTCCAGGCCATCGCTCAAGCACACAAGACTCCAAGCGGAAGCAATGCCAGGAGGCCGTTGGCGAATGTCGGATCCGAGGGGTTTGGCAGGGCGCAATGGGTGAGATTGCCCAGGCTTCAAGCTCCTTGTGTCTGTTTCTCCCCGTGCTTTTATCTTTTCGGTCCCGACCTGCAGCCTGAACGCAGAATCCTCCTGGCCCAAGTTTCAATCCTCACCGCCGCGGCGGGGCTGTGCCACAGCCAAGCACGAACTCCCGCTCAGTCCCTGATTCCTCGCACGTCGCACTCACGTTGCGTGAACTGCCGGCCTCGCTCGTCTTACTCGATCGAGGCTTTAGACCAACCATGCGCTCGCGCTCTATTATTGCGACCGCACCGCAGCAGCCCAAAATACATAGGCGTCTGCCAGGGGCCGGGCGGCGGGGCCAGGCACCAAATCAAGAGCAGTGCACCCACATTTTCCTCCACGCAGTTGAGCTTAAAACAAAACCCTCGCAACGGCATCCTCCTGGTGGCCATCCGATACGTTGTGTATATCATAGACCAACAGACACAACGTATCGAGATGCCCAAACGCCTCCTATGCGTGCGTTTACACGCTCTCCTTCTAATAGCCTGCTGCTGCCTTTTCCGCACCAGCTCTGCCCAGTTCACACGGCCAGACTTTACGGGCCGAAAGCACGCGTCCATCGCCGCTATCGACGACTTCCTTTACATCCACGGCGGCGAGCCCTCCAACAAGGATGATAACAAATACTACGACACCCTGGTCATCCATCTCAAGGACAAATGGCCGGCAAACAGCCCGACCATCGCGCCCATGAACTGGGCCACCTCGGCCGTCCAGATGCTCGGCCACCGCGTCTGGGGCTTCCAGCTGTGGAAGATGCCCGGCACCAAGTCGCTTCTTAGCTGGGGAGGGTTTCGTACCACAAACACGACCGTGGGGAGGTCTGACGACTACCCCGGCGACGCTCCCCTGAGCCGCGACCTCTTCGTCCTGGCCACCGACAGCCGCGGCGTCGCCAACTGGTCCCCCGAAAAGGCAGCCGCCGACCCCGCCGGCCGCACCCTGACCCAGGCCGGCAAAGCCAACGAATGGGGGCCGGGGATGGGCTACTCCGTCTCGTGCGCCGGGTACGGCATCTACCTCGGCGGCGTCGCGGCCCAGCCGACGTCGGTCAACGGCACGCCGCCGCCGTTCGGGGGGACGTGGTCCGCGGGAAGCCAGCTCCAGGGCGGCCTGGTGACGTACGAGATCGCGACCAAGAAGTGGACCAACGCAACGGTGCCGCCCGACACGTTCCCTGCCGGCGGCGTCGCGGGCGGCAGCGCCGTGTGTGTCCCGCAGCTCGGCGAGCGCGGCCTGGTGCTCTTCCTGGGCGGCCACGCGAACCGGCCCGGCAGCGACCTCGGCGCGGGCGGCGGCGGCGTCGGGTCGGCGCTCAGTCTCGGCCGGCTGGTCTTCTACGACCCCGTCAAGAAAGAATGGCTCTCGCAGGCGGCCACGGGGGATGTGCCGCCGGAGCGCCGGCACTTTTGCGCCGTCGGCGTCCGGAGCGCGCCGCACGGCCGCAACTCGACCGAGGTCTACGTCTTTGGCGGCGACGTCGCCGGCTCCTCGCCGGGCCCGGCCGGCGACCTGTACGTTCTGTCGCTCCCGGCCATGAACTGGTGGCGCGTCCTGCACGGGCAGGCCGGGCTGTCGGGCCACGCGTGCGAGGTGGTCGGGAGGCGGCAGGTGGTCGTGCTCGGCGGCCAGGGGCGCAACGGCACCGCCGCCGCCGCCGCCGCCGCCCCGAGCGCTAATATGGGGATTCGAATCTTCGACATGGGCACGCAGAATTTTGTGCAGGACTATTCTCCCGCGGGCGATCCGTACGAGTCGCCCAGCTACATCAAGACATGGTACAGCGACGGGTACGGCAGTTACAGCTCTCAAAATTCCGACGGCGTCTCGCCACATGGAAGTCGCCTCTTTGCTAACGAGCTGCCGAACAGAAATCTGGACCGCGTGAACTGGAACAACGACCGCGTCAAAGCGACAATGCTTCAAAGTAAGACTACCCGCCTTCCAGGAACGACTGCCTGATCAGGCACAACAGAGCGCTAACAACCAACACCCGGCGCTATAGCTCCAGACAGCAGTAACAACAGCGACCCCGCCAAAGACACCGCCAAAGACACCACGAAGGAGCCAGGAAACAACACGGCGGCCATCGTTGGCGGCGCCGTCGGCGGCGCAGTCGCCCTCCTCGTCACCGGCGTCGCAGCCTGGCTCCTAGCTCACCGCCGCCGCCGCAACCGCAGCCGATACAACGCCGTCGACACCGCCGCGGCACCGTCCACCACCACCAACGACGACAAGGACGGCCGCGGCGGCCGCGACGACGGCCCCGCCGCCGCCTTCCCGTACAAGCCCGAGCTCGACTCGTCGCCGGCCGCGGCCCGGTCCGAGCTCGCGTCGACGCACGGGCGCACCCCCGAGCTGCAGGGGAGCCTGGCCAGGGCCGAGCTTCCGGGGAACTGAGTTTTGACGAACGAGGACATGATAACCATATAGACTGGAGTTTCTGGCTTGGGGTTTGCATACGGTTATACCCAACAGGCGTTAAAAATGGCTAAACAGTGCATATATAGATATATATAGAATATGGGATGTACCAAACTTTGCGTCTAGACAAAGCCTCTGAGGTTGCTGGCATAGAAGACGATCCCATTTAGGTTGCGAAAATCTGCCCGCGCAGAGGTAACACTTCTCGCAGTCCAAAAGCTCTCGGTTGTCAGTAACGCAATAGCGTATGTCATTCTTGATCACCATATCCTCGTGTCCAATAAGTGCCCGAAAAGTATAATTTACAGAGACGCACATGCGATGAGGAAAAGCGGTACGACGTATGTGGCCGCCAACGCCGAGAGTGCAACCGACAATCTCACACGAAGAAATAAAAGCAGGTATGCATATGTCCATCCCAGTCATGAAATCATAACCCCCGCCCTGATCTTTCAGGTCGTTACAATGTATGCCCATATAACCCAGAAACCGCAACTTAACCATGAGTTCCTAGGAAATAACTAGAAGAAGAAAAAACAGAAAGAAAACAAAGGCCTCAGCCTCGCGACTCGTCCCACGTCGACCACCTCCTGATGATCTCGTCAACGACCTCGACACCCGCGCGGGAGGCCTCGACCTCGAACCACTCGCGGTGCTCGCGGCCGCACGACGAGCACTTCTCGCGGTCGGCGACGCGCAGGCCCAGGCCCGCGAGCTCGATGTGGACCAGGCGCTCGACCTTGTGGCTGTGCGGCATCTTGCGGGGCACGGCCGCGCCGGAGCTGCCGCTGGGCGACGACGACGGGACGTAGGGGTAGTAGCGGATCAGCGACACGTCGTACTCGCACTGCCGCGACCACTCGTTGAGCCGCCGCTGCACGTTGTTGGCCCGCCCGATCTTGAGGAGGATCGTCTTCTTGCCGCCCGAGCTGCCGCCCTTGCCGGGCGAGGACCGGGCGCCGCTGCCGGCCGCGAACGAGGCCATAACGTCGCTGGGCCGTCGCTGGCGGGACGAGGAGGGTGGGGCCAGCAGCGACCGCGCCGCGTCGGTGGGCGGCGAGGCGGTGCCGCCCTTGTCCGGGGTCAACCAGAACATGTAGATGTAGCCGGCGTCGTCCGTCTGCGACACGGGCTTGGCCAGCTCAGCGAGCAGCTGCGACGCCGTCTGCGGGTTGGTGGACGGCAGGATCAAGGACATGTACTCGGCAGTGTGGGACTGCGTCGATCCGGAGGACGAGTGGCGCTTGCGGCCGCTACCGCTGCCATTGGAAGGAGAAGGCGCCGAGAGGTGCTTCCCCGGCCTTGTTGGGGTCGCCGCTATCGGGCCGCCGGCCGGGGTGGCGGACTGGACTGGGCGCGGCTTGGGTCGCGTCGGGGGTGGGGGAGCTTCGTCGGTATCGATGGGTATCCTGAAGCAACACAGCGAGAACCCCTCCGACTTGGGTTGCGGCTTAGGTTCATGGGATGGCCTCTCCGCCGAATGGCCGGCGCTGTAGTTGTATGAGGGCCGGTGCTTCCGAGAGGGCTTGTTGGATACGTCGAGCAGGCCGAGGCGGTCGGCGAGGGTGTCGATGCTGGTGCGCTCCTCGAGGATAGGGGTGTGCGACAGGCGCGGGCCGGGGCTGGAGTGCGCCGAGATGCTCGCCTGCTCCTTGTGCTGCCAGCAGTAGAGGGCCTCATCGGCCGGATCGTCGACGCGCAGCCTGTGCTTCCGGCGTGGCGGGGTGGAAGGGGCGGTGCCGGCGGGGGCGTCCTCTGAGAGGGGTCGTCGGCAGGGCCGGCCGCCCGACGTGATGCCGCGGCATGTTGTCGCGGGGTTCTTGGAGTCGCTCCTGCCAATCAGGGACTCGGGGGTGTTGGCGATGAAAGGCATTGTGGCAACCTTTCCTAGGAGAGGAGAGGATCAGAGGATCAGATGGAGGGGTTTCTTTCTCGTCGACACAAGAGGGGGAGCAGCAAGCCGCTCGTCCGCAACCAAGGGGTCTAAATACCCAACTCAATGGCCAACCTCTGTCGGTGAGCAAGGAATTCCCATTCGACCCACGTCGCCAAAAAGCAGGGAAGAAGCCGGGCGCGTAGATGCCATGGTGAGGCTGGGCATTGGTGGGCTGGCTGCTTGGCCTGCGTGTCGGGTCCGCTCTCGAGGCCCAGCGAGTGGGCGAAATGCAAGGGGTGGTTGGTGAGGCTGTTCATGTGGCTGTGTCGCGCTGGCATCGGCCGAGGCGCGAAGGCACGTGATGTCACGTCATTGGGCCCCGCCCAACCCGCCAGCGCAGCCCCTTGGCGGCGATTGAGTGGCACAGCGAGGGCCAGCGGTGGGCTTGGGCCGACAGCTCACTGACACTGACGAGCGCAGGCGCAGGCCATTCCTGGCCGACACCTGCATGCCACCATGCCACGCACGCTATTACACGTAGCCCCGGCCGTTGTTATCCCCTACTAGCCTCGGGCATTGTCCCGTCGGAACGCCCGGATTGTGAATTGGCCGTCTGGTGCTTGGGTGCCCAGCAGCCCAGCAGCCCAGCAGTCATCGTGGTTTCGGGCGCACACGCCTGGGCAAAGCTTGTCGTGCTTGGCTCGAAGCTTGTGTGGTCAACTTTGCTCCTCCGCGTTTGGGAGAAGATCCCTTTCCATGCCGATCCTACCCATCCATTGATGAATGAGATCCAGTCGATGAATGAGATCCAGTCGCGCAGGTCCCCTGGGATGAATGGAATTGTCTAATCGGCACCTTTGAACACATCCAGCTTCTGTATCTCCCTTACCTGTGACCAGCCGACCGCGCGTTTCCGCGGATACAGACCGAGCCCCTCGAACCCCTCTAGATCTGCAAGGGCCGTCCCCCTGTCCCTGGTTGCACACGAGAAGACCCAGCACTTGTGATTACGCCGTCTGGGGCCGTCATGTCGCAATCAACCCTGTTATATGCGGGAAGGGTGGGATCAAGCAGGTCTTTACGTAGCAATAGAGGATGGCGCTGATCCAACACGGTCCCTGATTGGCCTTGGGTCATCCCCAAAGCCATTTTGGAGTGCAAAACTTTGATCCTTCTCCGTTTCCCGACCCGGTTTCCAGGTGAATGGCGCAAGTGACGCCGTTATAAATGGTGCGCACATGCTTCCGCGCCTGTGCTAGTTCACCGCATCACCTCGCACGCCCTGGAGCCACATGTGCCAGGTAGACTCCCGAAGCCTCTGAATAGCAAGGAGACAGATTGAATCCTCAGGCACCTTCATATCGAAGCGTGTACAACCCCGGTCCCGTCGCGATGGCCAACCTCGGCGATCCGCAGCTAGTGGGCGACAAGGCCGTGGAAGAGCGCGCCGATTACTCTGTCGGCACCGCTTTCGACTCCCCACTGAGAGACTTTCGCCAATGGTTTGGGGGTCCAGGGGTGAATGTTGGGCCTCGCATCAGCTCTGTGGTTGTCACTTCAGTTGCCGATTCCGACAACGAAAGTAGCGCCGCCATTCTCGACAAGCAGCTAGCCCTCGAGGCCAATGCAGCTATCCAGTACCGGACCTGTAGCTGGCAAAAGGTAGGCGCCACACAGCTCAGGACTTTAGAGGACAGGCATGTGCTAAACCGCCCTTTCTAGACCGCAGCGCTGCTATTCTCCGAGTATATTTGCCTAGCAATCATGAGCTTCCCATGGTCGTATAGTGTGCTTGGTCTCGTCCCTGGGTATGTCACAAAAACATCCCACCCACTATCCCCTGAGTCTAGAACAGCATTCAGCTAACCTGGCAGCGTGCAGCCTCATACTCACCGTACTTGTTGCTCTTGTTGTCCTCTACACGTAAGTTTAGCGAGGCTTTCCCGCGCGAGCACCCTTTGTAGAGATCGATACTGATTGCTGGGACAGGTCATTAATTCTCTGGGAATTCTGCCTTCGCCACCCCGAGGTCCGCGATGTCTGTGACATTGGGCAGATGTTGTTCTGGGGAAAGAAGTGGGCGTGGTATGCGACCGCTGTTATGTTCCTCCTGAATAATACGGTATGCGCCCCTCATCCCCGGTCCTGGCCATCTCTGAACTCGCCTCATCAGCTAACAGCTGCCGTGTTTCCTCCACTGCAGTTTATCCAGGGGCTACACGTCCTGGTCGGCGCCAAGTACCTAAACACCATGACCGCGACTGACGACACGGTCAGGTGCCGTACGGTCAGCTACGGAATCATCATCGCCATAGTCTGCTGGCTGTCGTCTCTTCCGAGAACCTTCAACATGCTTTCAAAGCTGGGAACAGCGTCCGCCGCCTTCACCTTCGTCTCCGTGCTGCTCGCAGCCGTTTTTGCAGGGGTCCAAAAGCTCCCCGCGGGCTACGACCCTCGGCCATCCTACACGACCCCGGCCGGGGTTGTCAAGGTCGGCGGAGACCCCATCGTCACGGCCTTCCCCGTCGCCAGCACTACTACGTTCGTCATGGGCCTGAGTGCGTTTCTCAACATCAGCTACACCTTCATTGGTCAAATCACCCTCCCCAGCTTCATCGCGGAGATGAAGGATCCGAGAGACTTCCCCAAGGCGCTGTGGGCCTGCACCATTGCCGAAATCTTCGTCTTCAGCATCGTCGGCAGTGTCGTCTACGCCTACACCGGGAACCAGTACATGACGGCCCCTGCGTTCGGCCAGCTCAACGATGTTTACAAGAAGGTCGCCTTCTCCTTCATGATCCCCACCATCGTGTTCCTCGGCGTTCTCTATGCTTCCGTCTCGGCACGGTTCATCTTCTTCCGCATCTTTGAGAACTCGAGGCACAAAAATGAGCATACCGTGGTTGGCTGGGCCTCTTGGGCAGGCATTCTAGGTGAGCCACCACCACGAACACACCCGAGCCGAATTTTTAAGTCTACCGTGACACTGACTATTCCCCTCGCAGGCGCGACTTGGCTTCTCGCATTCATCATTGCAGAGGTTATCCCTTTCTTCTCTGATCGTAAGTGTTCCCTATTTGCTGATCATCCCTAGGCGTTAATCCAGAAAGAAATTTCGGGATCATGAGCCACGGCACTAACAGCCGCCATAAAATCTTGTCACAGTCCTCTCTCTCATGTCATCGCTTTTCGACAGCTTCTTCGGGTTCATCTTCTGGGGCGTCGCGTACTTCCGCATGCGTTCCGTGGACGGAAAGGTGACACTAGTGAAAGACAGATCGCTGACCGGGTATGCCCTCTTCGGGTTAAACGTTTTCATCATACTGGTTGGCGTCTTCTTTCTCACAGTGGGCACCTATGCAACGGTGCAAAGTATCATCGATTCGTTTCATTCAGGGACCGTGGGAACTGTCTTCACTTGCGCGAGCAATGGTCTTTGAGGTAGCCGCTACTGTTTATGCTGAATACCAACCCAGCTTTTATTTATGAGCCAGGGTAGTGTCTAAATCCAGATACCCGCCAACACCCTGCCGCCCTTTCCTAGTCAGGAAGCCTCTGGCCAGTAAGCCGTTATGAATAGTACTTTGCGGCCCGCCTAGGGTTGACCTGAAAGGATTCGCTCCCAGATGGCCCGAGCCTAAGCAGCCCCGGTGGGCATGGCAAATCCGATAAAAGGCTGCAAGAACGGCCCGACGTGCTCGTGGATATGAGTGATTCTGTCACACGGTGGGTTGAATTGGAGGACGAAGACGCAAGAGATGTTCACATATTGCCTCGACGAGTACTGGGCGGTACACAGTGTCGTGACCGCAATGCGGTCATAGTTCAAGGACGCAAAAATCTCGTCGAGTTCCATCGTGAAGTTGTGTGCCCCTTCCCGGTCCAGCGATTGCCGAAGGGTTCTATAATGAGTGACGTACTCGGAGTTGGAAAGTCCAGTGTTTCCATATACGGCTGGCAACAAAGTGGTTAGGCAGACTGGATAACGGGTTTCTGGCTGCAGAATGCAAGGGTGATGTTTATCTCGGGGCCGCAGGCTCACCAGGGATGTACTCGTGGAGGCAGTCGTCATCACGATAGCTCCATATATCCTGGGGCTCGTAGTCCCACGCGTCGAAGCAGTTGTAGCTCTGGATCATGTCGTGGACCAGCTGGATAGCCTGAGGAGGTGGGTCACCGCCCTGGAAGGACATGCGGCGTGACTCCATTTGGAGTTATGGGGCGTCTGCTTGGGGTCGGGGGCTGGGGGTATAGCGGCGAGAACCTGACGGTTCGTTTGTGGAGCGTCTACTGGGCAGAACTAGGCTGTGCTCTTAGTAGAAGAAGGGCTGGCTTAAATACAAGTGGGAGAAGCGCGAGCGAGGCCTTCTAGTGCTTGCTTTCGAGTGAAGAGGGCTACCAAACAACGTCACACCAAGTGACGAGCCTTTGTTTCACTGTTCGGGGTCTATTCACAAGCACTTCGTCCTGGCTCTGGTGGAACCACCGAGTCACTCCAGAAGGTGAGGTAGTCTGTCATCAAGCAAGTCCAGCAAATTGTTGCAAGTCGGAAGCAGCGTAATCTCTAGCCAATAAAGTTCGAATGGTTATCGATGCCATTGGGATATCGGCTTAGGTAGCCATTAGTCTGGACCCGATGGTGTGATGCGAATGAGGCTCCTTGCGCAGTATCTAGGGACCCGGAGGCAGATGCCTGAGTGGCCAATGACGAGAGGCAAGTGGTCGTGGATCTGGAGTGAAATGCGCTGGTATTGACGTTCACTAACAAATAGCAGGTGTATCAATTATCGAAAACTTGGGTTGGTTAGGTTCATGGTTTGACAGAATCTTTGTCCAGGTACACATTCACGATGACCCGTGGCCCTTGTATGCAAGTTCATTGCAGCCTGTCTATTTCATTCCTCCAAAGCGGAATGGCCTTCAAGATGCGCAGGAGATAGGAGATGCAGCTCATGAACGGCTGACAAGGGGGTCGCACTTCGCAGGGGTGCAAGATTCTGCCATGGTCGACCGCCAAAAAAACCAGATGGCCGAAACCTCGATGCCCCACCCAGAACGACCCTAGCAGAACGACTGCAAACCACTTGCCTGACAAGCAGGATCCATCAGACCCACGATCGCATCGCATCACACCACACGCACGCACGCACAAACACACCGCCCAGCACACGAGCATAGCATACCAGACACCATGCCGCTCGACACGTCGGCGTACTCGCTCGCGCTGCTGCGCATCGACGGCAGGCGGTGGAACGAGCTGCGCCGGTGCCACGCCCAGATCCGCACGCAGGCCGCCGCCGACGGCTCCAGCTACCTCGAGATGGGCAACACAAAGGTCATGTGCGTCGTCACCGGCCCCAGCGAGCCAACCCCGGGCCAGCGCCGCACGGCGGGCAACGTTACGGCGACGGGGGCAGGTGGCGGCGGAGGAGGAGGAGGGGGAGGCGCCGGGCAGTCCAAGGACGCCGAGGTGGTGGTCAGCATCTTCGTCGCGGGGTTCAGCTCGGTCGACAGGAAACGACGGGCCCGGAGCGACAAGTAAGTTTCTCTCTGCGTCTTTTTGCTTTCTTTGGTCTTCGCATCTGCCCGAAACAAACAGGTTCCTGACAGAACCCACCCCGCGAACCAAACAGGCGCATACAAGAGCTCCAGGCGACCCTGTCGCGCGCGCTCGCGTCGACGCTGCACACGCACCTCTTCCCGCACAGCACCATAACCTTCTCGCTGCACGTGCTCGCCCAGGACGGCTCGCTGCTGGCCGCGCTCATCAACGCCGCCTCGCTGGCCGCCGTGGACGCGGGCATCCCCATGATCGACTACGTGGCTGCCTGCACCGCGGGGTCGACGTCGTCCTACGCCGCCGGCGACGACTCGGCCGACCCGCTCCTGGACCTCAACCACCAGGAGGAGACGGAGCTGCCCGGCCTGACGGTCGCCACGCTCGGCAGCTCGGACCGCGTCGTCGTGCTCAACTGCGAGAGCCGCGTCCAGGCCAGCCGCCTCGAGGGCATGCTCGCCGTCGCAGTCGACGGCTGTAAGCAGATGAGGGAGATTCTGGACCGCGTCGTCAGAGAGAGGGGCAGACGCATGATCCGCGAAGGTACAATAGAGAGGGCCGACACCCTGGGAATGGAGATCGACGCATGATCCGAGGCATGAAGTTTCAACGTTGCAAGTAGGGGCCATCGTCCGAGCGTAGGGTATCTGTCTGGCATAATGACAATTCGATATACCTCGGGATTCAGCATCATCAAGGTACGGCAATCACTCTCCTTGGCTGATCAACATGGACCTTCAATTCAGAGCCTATTTTCTGGTCTTCGTCCCATCGCGCTCAACCGAGAACAAACTAACATTACAGAAGCAACGGCACCAACAAGCAGTGTCGTTACAGCTCGTCGTGTGCCGAAGGCTTCGCCGTCTCGGAGTCGGGGATCGGGTCGGTGGCCTTGGTGTCCGACGATGAGCTTGACTCCTGTGCGGGAGACGGCGTGGCCTCGGCCTCGGGTACGGTAGCGGCGACCAGATCCCCAGGCAGCTTGTTCTTGGCACCTTCGCCCAGACGGATGGAGTCGATCCAGGACTCAATGCTGTTTGGCGCAAAGTCGGCGCCTTGGTAGTGCTTCCACCAGCCCCTGCGTGCATTGATGGCGACGAGTTCGACGGGCTTGGTGAGCTCCAGCGCCTTGATGACCGCCTGCGCGCCCAGGTTGGAGGGGGATGGGACGGCGAAGAAGGGGAACAGCTTGCGCTTGCTTTGGGCGTGCTTGAAAGCTAGTTCTGCGAGCACCGTGAGCGCAGCGGTGGCATCATCGCTCTTGTCGTCGGCGCCGGGCACGAACGCGAGCACGCACGTGTTTGACTTTTCATTCAGACACTCCTTGGCCAGCTTCTCGGCGCTGTGTATAGTCGGCACAGGCGGCGCAGCCTCGATTATGACGGGCGCTTTGACAGTCTCGGACCCAGCCTCAGCGGAGTCGGTGGGGGTGTCAGCCGAGGCCTTCTTCTCGGGCTCAGCCCCCTTCTTGCTGGCCTTCTCCTTCTTGTCCTTGCCCGTCTTCTTCTCTGCCTTCTTCTTTTCCGACTTCTTCCCGCTCGAGGGTGCTGGGTCGGGGTTCGGAGCGGCGGCCTGGGACAGGAACTTCACCATGTCCGGCTTCTTGTTTGGGCCGTCGTACTTGATTGGGTCCTTGCCGTCTCCCGGGATCAGAACCAGTGTGGGGAATTTGTCGATGCCGAACTTCTCGACCGCCTTGGTTTCCTTGTTCCTAATCTGGGCCACGGAAATGGCGTCGAGAAAGTCGATGGCAACGCCCTTGAGAAGCGCGCTAGTGGTGCCCTTGTCCGTGAACAGAATGGCCTTGGGGCCCTCGTTCGTGCCGAGGAAGTCATCCAGGTCCTTGTCGGTAACCCTCTTGACGTGGTTATTCATGCGCTCCACAACAGCATCGACGATGCCGGCAGCGGTGCGGGGACCATTGTAGTCCTCGACGGCCGGCTTGCCTGCCTTCTTGCCTGGGCGAATTATCTTCAGGGTCGGGAAGCCCTGGATGCCCATAGTGCCGCAGAAGGGTTTGTTGCTATCATCGTCGCAGTCGATGGCCGCCACCTTGGCCAATCCCTCGAGGTTTTTGGCGGCCTTCTCGTAGGCAGGCTTGAGGTTTTGACAGTGCCCGCACCATGGCGCGTAGAACTCGAGTATCTATGGAGGCAATCAAGCGTAAGCGACTAGCTAGTACGGCCCTACTCTTTCTACCTGGGGTGGAACTCACAGTCGTTTGGTTGGACTTGGCAACCAAGTCTTGGTAAGTCTTGCCGTTGACCTGGAGGACGGCGGAGCTTTTGGGGTACATGCCAGCCTGCGCGCCGGGGAGGGCGGCGGCCAGCAGCGCGGCGGCATAGGCGCAGAGTGTGGGGTGATGCATCTTCCTTGCACCGAAAGTTTCAGCTCGAGTCTTGTGGAGAGCCCTCTGCCTACTACGTCAGCGAGGAGAGCGACAGCTTTGGCGGGGACGGCGGCGTCAGTGGGCAATCCAGTGGGGGGATACGTGGTTGGTCAACAAAGGAAAGAGAGGGCAATGCTCGTGGAGAAGTAGGCGAGTACAGGCTACATATAATGGTGCGATTGGCGGGTTTCAGAGCGGCATTGTTGTCTTCTTCGTCCGCAAGCTCAATTTGGAAAAAAGGCCAGCGTGGAAGATCGCGGAAGACGGGGCAGGGGTCCTGCAGCTGCATACCACCGCGATTGCTTCGCCTGATTGATGCTGGTGGGGCCATTTCATCATCTTCTGGGGCGATGAGGGGTAAAGCTCAGCGCTGGCCTCTGCCTCGGCGCCAACGGCAGCTTCAGCCACCTGTGGCACGAGCTTAGGCAGAGACCACGCACGCCTATGCTCATGTCCGTCATCAGCTGTCGCCTTTGCGATCGCCTTGCAACATCAAAGCGTCGCAAGCTCAGCATCACAACCACCAGAGGCCACCAGATACCCCAAACCTAGAGTTTTCTTTTTTTTAAAGACACAAGTCCTCCTCACCACACGGACATCGCCATCGAATTTCATTCAACATATCATATAGCCGCGATCGTTCACTCTCCGTCGCGAAAATGGTGCTGGATCCCCCGCCCGCCCTCAAGCAGGCAGACGTCAACCTCTTCAAATGCGCCAACCGCTGTAACCAGCTGCGCGCTCACAAGCCTATTGTCGCATACTGGTGTTGGTGCTCCCTCACTCATGAGCGCGACAGCCTGCTCCGATGGTCATTTCTAACGCCCCGTGACAGGCGACTACTGGGTTGTCAATCAGATACTGGCACAGGGCCTCCACACAGCGGACGCGGAGATCTTGACATACACAATGACATTGATGGACAAACTGGAGCAGGTAGGTGGCATGGCGAAGGCCAAGCGAGTGGGTCTCGAGAAGCGCGTGGCGGGTATTGCTAACACCCTCGTCGCCCACACAGGCTAAAGCAGAGCAAGCCCACGAGGTGGCCGTCACAGATGACGAGGCCGGCAAGGCATACATGCAGCAGTTCTCACAAGAGACGCTGGATAGGGCACAGAAGGTCGTCACGGCAAATAGGGTCACGGGGTGAGTTGATAAGGAGACGGCCACTCCTGCTACACCACTTCGTTCCACTGACTTGCAAACAGAAACACGGCCAATACGTTCGACGCTGCCGCCACCTTTCTCAATTTGATGAACATTTGGGGTCCAGCCGACCACGAGACGCGACAGAAAATCAAATACGCAAAGTGGAGCGCCGTCAGGATTCTAAAGGCAATCAAGGAGGGGACCGATCCGAACGAGTCGAACCCGAGATTCGATCAGGCCGAGGAGGAGGCTGCCGAGGGCACGGTGGATCCAGATGCTGAGCGCACCTCAGCGGCCTCGCCAGGGCCACGGCCAGTGTCGGTTGAGGAAGTCGCAGACTCGAACTCGAAGAGAAACTCGGCCGTTATCTCTCTACCCGACACCACACCGGCGGTTCCGTCCCCTCTCACTCGCGAGGACATGACGCTACCCGATGCTCCCCCTGAATCCTCCAGCGCCTCCCAGTTCTACGCCCAACCGGGTCAACAGCCCGGATATTTCGATACGGAAGGGGGCGCGCCGCCTGCCATGCCGTCTCCGATGTCACCACCCCTCGCTCCATCCGCCGCCCCCTTGGAGGTGCAAGCGTGGACGCCAAGCCCACCACCGTCTGCAAACGCACCCTTCGCGCCGCCGTCACCCCCTGCGGCCGGCCCCCCGACCTTTGCGCCTAGCTCGGACGCAACTCCTGCCGTGGCTCCGCCCCCGATTAGCCCTCCCCCGTCTAACTACTTGGATATGACGCCGAATCCCACCACCGCCAGGCCCGTCATTCCACCACCATCGGGGGTATCTCCTACTCCAATCGTCCCACAGGTGACGCGGCAATATGAAGCGCCTGTAGTTGCTCCAGTTGTCGTGCCAGCAGCTGCATCGGCCACAGGGCCGCCAGCCTCGGGTTACATCACGAATGATGCTGCCATAGCCAAAGCGCAGAAGCAGGCCAGGTGGGCCATCTCGGCGTTGAACTTTGAGGATGTCCCCACAGCGGTCAAAGAATTGCGCAACGCCCTCGAGACGCTGGGCGCCACATGAGCCTGTGATGGTGCCAGATGGCCGCGAAGATTCGGGAAATTTCCGGCTTTGCACCTAGAGTATCTAGTGGCCGGTAGAGGAGCGATCCTCCTGTAATTGCAAACCAGCGTCGAATCGAGAAAGTTGCCTCCAGCTCTCACATATATCCATCCCCTTTAAGGATTTGAATACCTCGCTGGTAGTAATGACATGCCTCAGCAGCACGGGCTTTTGTCGGGCCGCTTGCCATGACCGAACCAGGCGGCTGGAGTGGACAGAACTGACAAGGGATGGGCCTTCAGGCTCCTCTCACGCCGCCGGGTGTTTAATTCCGGATGGATGTTTGACTTCGACACTAGGTGGATAGGGATCCATACACACGCAAGCCGGCCCTAGTTGACAGCTCTAGGGTACAAAAGGGGCCGTAGAGCTTGCTGGAGAGGCCATCTTCACCGACAAAAGGATGGAGGAATTATGCATCAGTGGATAATCATGGGGGCTTAATGTTTGCGGTGGAAAATCAACAGGCGAGCGTGGGCACGGCATTTCGCAGAGCGATGTGAGTTTGTTCTCAAATCTCGCTCGCTACATTAAAACAAAAACGGCGGTAGGCATTGCACACCTATGATTAAACTTTATTTACATGATAACATCCAAGGCGGGGCCCGAGCAGCACACGGCCTAGGCGTTCTTGAGCTTGAAGCCGCCGGGGACGCGGTTCTGGAAGACCTGCTTGGGGTCATAGCGGACGGCGACGTCGCGCATGAACTTGAGGTTCGCCTCGCCGTAGCCCTTGAAGGGGCTCTGGTTGAGGCCTGCGTAGTTGAGGAAGAGGTACTCGTCGTCGGCACCCTTGCTCTTTGCGAATTCCTTGATGGAGGCGACCCAGGCGGCCATCTTGCGGTCGACGTAGGCCTTCTTGGCCTGGTCCTTGTAGGCGGTCATGCCGAGGAACATGATGAGGGTCTCGGTGTGGTCGGCGAGGCCGAGCACGTTGCCGCCGGAGCGGGCGGCCTGGGCGAACTGGTGGGCCGAGAGGGGCTGGAACATGGCCTGGGTGGTGAAGCCGAGCGACGGGCCGGTCTCCGCCTCGAACTCCTTCATGAGCTGCTTGTACGAGTCGATGGCAAAGGCCATGACGGCCTCGTCGTTCTTGAAGGCGAGCGCCTGCCACGAGTTGTAGCTGCCGCGCGGCACCTCGAGCTCGTCGGTGAAGCGGACGAGGGAGTCCTTGCGCATGGCGTAGCTGATGTTGTTGGGGATGGAGAGGAACTCCCTGTACTGCGGGGCGGCGGCGGGCACGCCGGCCGTGCTGTGCAGGGCGGCGATGACGATGGGCTCGGTGGCGCCCGAGCCCTGGGTGAAGGTCCAGAAGTCGATGGAGCTCGAGTCCTGGTGGTCGCCGGCCGAGTCGGCAAAGTTCTTCATGGCCTTGATGACCGCGGCCGAGCCCGCGTCCGCCCACCCGACGGTGCCGCCCCAGAGGGTCGAGGTCGAAGCGGGTGACGATGCCAAAGTTGCTGGAGCCGCCCTTGAGGGCGCGAGTGCAGGTCTGGGTTGGAGGTGCGGTTGGCGTCGACGACGGAGCCGTCGGCCAGCACGACCTCGAAGTTGGCGACGCCGTGGCACGCGAAGCCGCACGCGGCCGCGTAGAAGGAGTTGCCGCCGCCGAGCAGCAGGCCGCCCCACGCCCACGGTTGAGGCGCGGCCGCCCGCCACCATGACCTCGCTCTTGGCAAGCTCCGTGTACACGGAGCCCCAGCGAGCGCCGGGGCCGACCGAGGCGATGCTCTGCTCGGGCTTGTAGACGGTCGAGTTCATGTAGCCTGTTTGTTTTTGAGTTCAGCGAACAGCACGCACGGATGGGGGTGGCGGATGGTACGTGGGGAGGAAGGGGGAGGGGGGAGGCCAGCAGCCTTACCCAGATCGATAGTGACGCCGGCATGGATGTTGTTCGCCCCAGCGTTGGCCATGTGGCCGGCGCTGCGGACGGCGAACTGGCAGTTGGGCGTGCAGCGGGCGTTGCCGCCCGTGGTGAGCGCCTTGACGGCCGCGGCCACCTCGGCGGCCGACCGCGGGAGCACGATGCACTCGGGGGGCGCGGAGGGCGTTGTCCAGGGACCAGTAGGTCGCCTGCTGCGCCGCGTACTCGGCCGCCTGCGGGGCGTAGATCCGTCCGGCCAGCTCCTTCTGCTGCGCGAGGAGGGGCGCACTGGTGAGACGAAGAGAGAGCGGCATTACCGTGAGGGCCGTACTGCTGCGGGACCAGCGAGTGGTCAAGAGGGCAGAGCCAGGGAAGGAATATGGAACGCACGCATTGGTCCGGCGTGGCGGCACGCGAGCCGGCGGCCGCGACGGAGGCGGTGCCAGCAAGCAGAGCCGTCAAGCTGGCGGCGGACAGAGCCTGCGACTTCATGGTTCAGGAGAGGAGGGGGCCGTGAGGGAGACGGAAGAGGTCTTCTGGGCAGCTGGATGGTGGGCAGCGTTGCTTAAGGAGGCAGCAACGTCGCAAAAAGGTTGTATCGACCCAGACAAGGGGACTGACACAGTACCAATCAAGGGGGAGAAGCCTGCTAAGTTGGATGGCACTGAGTTTGGATGGCTTCGAGGGGGTGAGGGAGCATCGAAAACGCAGGTTGGTTGACAACCGGTGGTCAGTGTTAAAGGGGGTGCAAATAGATCACTCCCGGCGCCAGAAAGCCCGAGCGGCACACAAGTTAAATACCTAGTTTTCTATGTCTTGTCACGACCGGAAATTCCCATGGTTTGTAAAATTGAACTAATGTAGTTGGTTGCATACCAAGATGATTCGCAATCGAATTGGCTGCTTACATGCCATACGGGGCGCAAGCTGTTCTGTGATTTTTTAGGAGGTAATGTAATGCCTTGTCACTCGTCGTGAGCAGGGAGAGTACCGACAAGGAATGACTGCTCAAAATGGCAATCGTAATTGTTTTATTTACCTTTCTCCGGCAGCACTCACATAAGCGATAGGAGGAATGGCAAACCGTTTAGTAGTAAACGATAGCCCTCAAAACCCTCAACTGACATTAACAAAAGCTCACTGCCCAGCCCCGATGAGGTGGACAGCTACGAAAACCCTTACGGGTTTTGCTCCGGCTCAAGGTGCCACCAGACGGGTCTGGCCTCTAGGCCTTGGGTGCCCACCACCCAACCCACGCCAACAGGGGCACCCCGAAATCCTTTCGAGGATTCACGCTCGCTGGGATTCGAACCGTCGACCTCGGGGTTAAAGTTTTGCGATCGGGAGGTGGCTTGTATAAGGTTGGAAAACCTCGACGTTTAACTTGGGTAACTTGCCGAGATGGGTCGCTCGGTGAAAGGTCCTGGGCGGGGGTTTATTATATGGCTACGAAGCTTTGGGGAGTAGAGTGGCATATTGGCAGTTGGGGGACGATAAAAATAGTGAGACAACGAGGGGATTGTAATAGAAATGCGACACAAAACCATTTACCACGCAGGCAAAGACACTACAGGGACTTGGCCAGGGTCACACGTGCAGACCAAGGGAGACATTTGGGGGCAAATAGTTAATTGCTTGCTTAAATAGTGGAAACCAACCCCTTTCCCGTTCATTACCGGATTACAAAAACATATCAACGTATCAAATCATGCAAAATATCTCAGTTGCCGAACACGCTCTTGAGCCAGTCCCAGGTGGTGCTGATCAGGCTGCCGAGGGCGTCACCCTTGCGCAGGGTGTCGGCGTAGGCGTCCATCTTGACCTTGGAGGCCAGGTACTTGTCCATGATGGACTGGTCCGGGGCGACGAAGGCGCCGACGCGGCCGGGCAGGGCCTTTGTGCACTCGGTCAGGTCGTTGATGTTGAAGACGCCGAGGAGCGAGAGCCGGATGTACTCGCGCGCGTAGTCCTCGTTCCAGTGCTCCTGACCCCCGGGCCCCGCGAACTCGTTGAACTCCTTGCTGATGCGGGGGTCCTTGGCCAGGACGATGTCGCTGGCGAACTTGAAGACGCGCGCGGGCGCGCTGCCGAGCGTCTCCTTGTAGAACTTGACGTCCCAGACACCAGGGGTGCTGTCCTGCGGGTCGCCGGCGCGCGAGGGGTCGACGAAGCGCTGCTGGCTGGTGGTGTGGGCGCCGATCAGGGCCGTCAGGCCGTGCGGCTTGATGGTCTTGTTCTCGAACAGCTCGATCAGGAAGTCGGCCGAGCCGGTCACGGGCGGCAGCAGGTCGTGGGGGGCCGGGACGGACGAGTCCTTGCGGCCGACGTAGCTGCGGATGCGCGGGCCGAGCGGGCACACGACCGTGGCCACGTTGGCGCCCCACTGGACGAGGTCGGCCATGCCGACGCCGTACTTCTTGTAGGCGTCGTGCCACTTGCGCGTCAGCTCGACGATCTCCTCGAGCCCGCGGTTCTCGCCGCGCAGGATCTCCTCGGGCGCCAGCACGAGCGAGCCGTCGGCGCCGCCCAGGTTGCCGGTCGACTTGGACCAGCCGCCGGCGTCGTGGAAGCCCAGGCGCACGGCGGCGCGGGCAAAGTCGGTGCAGCGGCCCGACTTGCCGCGGAAGGCCCGGACCATGTCGTCGGCGATGTACTTCCAGATGCAGCACGTGTCCTTGGCGCAGGCCGCCGAGCCCATTTGCGGGATCTGGACGGCGCCCCAAGCGCCGCGCGGGTACGTCTCGTCGCTCTCGGGGTTCTCGCTGCCCGTGATGAGGTGCTTGATGCGCTTGCCGACGGGCGTCAGCTGCGACTCGTCCAGGGTGATGAGGTCGCCGATCAGCTCGTTGGAGTCGAGGAGCTCGTCGGCTTCCGTGTCGGAAGCCTGCCGGCCGCCGCTACCCCTGCCGCCGCGGGCACGGGCGTGGATCTCGCCGAGCGTGCTCTTCATGCCGGGGTAGGCCAGGGCGGGAGAGGCCGCGAGGGCCGCGGTGAGGAGCGAGAGACGCATTATTAGAGAGTGTTGATATAGAGCCACGTGAAGGGCTATATAAACGAGGGCCTGGGTATTAAAATGACAATATCAAAGATATTATTCCGTCAAGGGGTCGGAACGAATGGACGACCTTGATGGCGGATATCAAGTGAATGTGGGAGTGACCGAGGGAGGCGTGCTCTGGGGACTGAAGCAAGAACAATAGGGAACGATGAGGGGGCCATGATGGCATTATATGTACCGGCTACTGCACACAGCACATCACGACGCAAGATGAGCACATGGCTCTCTCTGGTCCACAGCCAAGACCGAAAAGGCACACAATACATTGTCAGCCGCATGCTGTTGAGAGCATTCGCGCGTGCCAGCCTCGAGTGGGCAAAGCAGGGGGCGCTGTTAGCGGGCAGCTCGGCCACGGTCAACGACTAGCCCCTGACGGGGCTTGGCCGCGTCGATCCATTCGTATTAGTCGAACCTGAAGCGCCCGGCACGGGCTGGCTGCAGCTGATTGGGCTCTAGCGCGGCGACGGCTGATGTTGGCAGGCCGCCAGGCGTTCAAGGGCGTCAGGGGAGCGCGAGCATGCTGTGGCATAGACGGGGATCTAGGGGCGGAGAAGAAGAAAAGCAAGTGTCTAGAAGCGGATACTGAGGGGCCACTGCGGTGAATCCTAGGTCGTGGTAGTCGAGGAGGGGGTCAGCCGCTTTTGCTTGGCTGAGCGGGGACGGAAAATGGTGCCCGGAGGGTCGACAATATTCGCTCGAGGGTCAAGACGCGGGAGAGCCCGCCCGAGCGTCACGATTGACTCTTCAACATGCAAGTGCAAGCGGGATTCCACCAGTCCCAAGATATGGATGGGGTTTGACCCAGAATATCGAGTCGTGGGTAGGAGCGTTGAGCTTGGCATTTTGGGTCCAGGACGGGGTTGGGGATGAGGAAGGTGTAATGGGAAATAACTTGGCAAGAGAGGGGCAATGCAAAAAAAAAAAAAACAGGACGAGATACAAGATGCAAAAACAAGAAGTAAAAACAAGAAGCAAAAACAAGAAGCAAAGACCAACAAGCAGAAAACAACCAAAGCAACAAAACAAAGCTCGCCAGGGTTCTTTCCTCACGCGCCAAGACGGCGGCATTCTAGTCCCCTCTCGATCGAACCCCGGGCGACTAAACCTCCCCTACTCAGCCAGGTGCAGCAGCCACCAACCCCTCGCCGAAAGGGCGGCTCTGCGGCTAAAATTGCACCAATGCAGGAACACGAACAAAATAAAGACCGGATTTGCGATGTGGCACTGACGTTGGTCCTGCGACTCAGGCTCTCTCCAGCGCTCGGACAGGGGGCACGGATGGAGCACTAGCTGCTGCGGCGGCCGCACAGAGCGCCACATGCACTCGCCGAGGCTGGCGTCCTGAGTTGGTCTTTTGTGTTACCTAGAGTGGTGTTGTTTGCCATGGATGTCGTCCTCTTTAGGGCCTGGCACGGATGAGCAGAACAGGCGCGCACATGGCGACGATAGCACGACAGAAATAAGCGTCATTGCTCCAGGCGGGTACGTGCGGTTTTCCCACGGCTCGGGAAGCGAGAAAGTTCGACAGCCTGCTCAAGCTTCCATCCTGGCATCGATCCCCTCGTGGAAACCACAGAATGGCAGCCTGAGAGCCAGCATTCGTCCCCACTGGCTGGCCGAGGGAGATCTCTCCCCCCGCGTAGATTTCTTTCTTGGGCTCAGCACTAGCGCCAAATGCCGCAGCGCAGATCACCACCACCGGGCCTCCTGAACCAGACCCCACTGGTAATCACACCGTGGCGGCGGCGCGGGGACAGGGGTCACTTGATTCTTCCGGCCGTGTCTTGAGCTGTGCTATCCTCGTCCCCGCCGTTCGGCTGCCTTATCTGCTGCGGGCTGCTTCTTCACGGCGGCACCGAGATGAACAACTCGGACGGGCGACTCGCTCTTGAGCCCCACTGGTATGAGCGTGGGTTTCACGTGGAGCGAGCCACATAGACGTAGACAACATGGCTCGCGGCCTAGCTACCGCTTCCTCCCGAGACCAGATACGTTAGCACGAGGCCTGCGCCGTCTTGACAGCACAGCTTCCCTCAGCCGGCGTCTGGGAGCAGCCTGACCTGATTCTCGAACGACGCTTGGACACAATCCGGGGGACCAACCCCTTTCTTGCTAGCCATGCGCTAAACTAGCACGACTAGGCACTGGTAGCTGACCTCCATTGTGGGAGTGATCCACAGCGGAAAAATCCCGGTCATCGCCTACGCTTGGACTCCTGGCTACCACCCAATATTGAGACTGATCTTGCATAGCCTAGTACGGTGGCCTTTCTTGACCACACTATCAGCCAAGCTCGTTGACTCGACGAGACCCCGGAGGGGGAAGCGGGCCTCACTGCCCCTCGGCAGCCACAGCACGCTCGACCACGGAGCACACAACGCGCAGGGCCTGCACCTCCTCCTCACCGACGACCCTGCCCACCGTCCTGATCACCCCCCTACGCGCTGGCCCGCTTCTGCGCCTAATGCAGTAGCTCGAGCCAACGGGCGACTTCGCGCATCGCAAGCGGCACGCGGGCTCCGACCACCCCGGGGCGGCTGCCCGCGTCGAGCTCGCGGTTGTCGACGGCGCAGTCTCGCAGCCCGCGCAGCTGCTCCTCGTCCCAGCGCCGCGAGCCGCCACCGCCGGCTGCAGACGACGGTGGCGGCTCCTGGCCGAGCGCCGCCGCCCTGGCCCGGAGCCGGTCCATGTCGTCGCTGAGGCCGATCCCGCGCTGCCACTTGTGCTGTTGGATCGCCGTGGACATGAGGGCCCGGACCCGCGTCGTGCGGATGAAAATGATTATGCTTTCGCTGATGCTCGGCAGTGCTCCCTCATCCCATTCTGATACGAGCTCGTCGCACAGCGCCTCCATCTGCTGAAAATCTGGGCGCACGTGTGCCGCTTTCAGTGCTTCCGCCTTGGCCTCGTATAACTTGGTGCCACGACTCTCCCTCATGCTGGCCAAGACACCAATGAGATACCGGCTACGGGGATTGTCGGTGCCTTGCGATAGAGTAAGCTGTGCACGATCCTCAAACACATGGATCACCTGGGCAGCTAGCCCAAAGTCCTTCCTCCCTAGGGCGGTCTGAAGCGCCTCGAGCTGTTCCGTGACTGTCCTCCAGAGCGCGAATACAATCTGGTATTGCTGCAGCGGCGCCTCGACGCCCATGGCCGAAAACGATGCCTTGACGACGTCGTCTGCAAAGACGGCCTCACAGTTCTTGAGCTCCCTCCCGATGGCCTCCATATCATCTCCTCCCCAGACCGCGGCCAGCTTCGCCATTCGCACGCCTGCGCCCATGACGGTCTCTCTCGAGCCTTCGCGTGGTCGAACTGGCGCCAGGCGGACCACATCAGCGTCCGGTGCTGCGTGACCGTCTCGAACCAGTTGCCCGGGGCCGTGGCCCTTTCGATGGCCCGCAGGCGCGACAGCTCGTCGACGGGGCCTGCGCAGAATGACAGCATGTCCAAGTCCCGGGGCCAAAACTCCTCGAGCCTGTTCACGCCGCGAACCCCCGTCATCTCCATCAGCTCACTGGACGAGCGCAGTGTTCTGCTCATGGCTTCAAGCCGCTCCGTCTCCATCTGCGCCCACCTCTCCTCATCGGTGTCAGCCTTAAATGGTGGTCCGTGTAGTGCTTCTTCATTCTGCCGCTCCGTGGTGATACCTAATAGTAGCCGGGGCGACGACCTCTCCGATAGCCGGGAGGTCAAACAGGCTCATAAGCTTGGCGTCCTCCAGGGTCCCCCCAATGACCGAGTACTCTACAGGCCGGCCATCGGGCAAAGAGGTCAAGGTTTCACAAAGCCTGCTCTCGGCCCCCACGTATTTGCTAAGATACCGTGCAGGAGAAGCACGAAGCCCTGGTACTTTATAGGGATGTGAGGGGCATTCGGCTTGGCCTGCTGGCCGTCCTGACCCGGCCGGTCGAAAAGGCAGAGGAACCCCTCCAGCAGCTAGTGAAAAGCTGAGCGAAGAGGGCAAAGGTTGTTGGCGTCAGGCACACATCCGACGGGATATATCGTCATAGGGTTAGGGTTATATCATAACCCTAACCCCCTACCTCGGCGTCGGCGTCACTGCTTGGCTGGCTGGCTGGTGGTGCACAGTATCTCTACACGGGCAACCACGTTGGCCCGGATCTGTGAGAACTGTAATGCCGTTTCCTCGACCTCGACTCCCAGGAGAAAGCTGCGCAGCGCCGTCACACCACTCGACCTTAGCATGGCGGACACCATGAACCGACCGACTGTGCTGAGGAGCGGTAGCCATGGGGCTGACGAGGCCAGATTCTGGCCAGCCGGGGAGCCGCCCAGATTCTTGATGGCGACTTCGGAATCTGGACGCTACCATGACCATCTCCTATCTTCTGACAGCGATTCAGCCACCGCTGGACGAACCCTCCCCCACAAGGAGAGCAAGGGGTGCACTGACATTACCTGGCCGACCGGCCCTAGCTGGACGTAGCCAAGGTCAAGAGCGACAGCCAATGCGGCCCCTACATGACCCTCAAACGCAGCGCGCTGGGAACTCGCAGTTGCAGGAAGGTCGTCGCGAGAGGGCGGGTCCGAGGAAGGACTGCCGACGCAAAACGCCTCGAGAACCTCTGCCACAGTCTGTACCAGCGGGCCGTGGTCCCAAAAGAGCGATAGGAGAGCAAGAGTTAGGAACCCCACCACCGGCATCCTTTTAGAGAGCAACAGAAGCTCCTGGGCAACTCAGCTCGACGACGAGCTCACCGCCAGTGTGCTCGAGGCCCCCGTGGCCGGCTCCAGACACTATAGACACAACCGTTGGTAAAATGTGTGCCAGGGTATGCCGAGAGCTGTAGACAAGGGCAGCACTTTGGTTAGAGCGGCAAGAGAGCGTTGAAGCAAGCCGATGACCTGGTCGAGTACTTCGTGGTCTCCCTGCTCCCACGAGCCCAGCGGCGGCCTCCTCGATGGTTTCTCGGCAGACCCTTGCGTCGTCGCCCAGTCGTCGTCCTGTTGTGCAGGTGGTCAATGATGAGGACCACGCGGGAGGCGGTAAAGTGCTGCTGTAAGGTGTCGACAATCCCATTATGTTCATAAGAGGATTCTTTGGCCATCCGGGGTTTCAAAGCGGCGGCTGCGCCCTCTCTTCTGTCACTTGCAATCGCTCGATAACTAGCCGACAAAAGCCATTGGCCGACCTGACACCGTCTTTCTCCATGTCGATGTAGATGACATGATGGACGTAGCGTGTCTGCTCTCAAATGTCTATGGCATGGTTGAGGAACATCGTCTTTCCAACCCCTGGAGGACAGTAGAGGCAGGCCCTTCGTCTATAGACCAGAGCCATCCCAAAACACTCGAGATCAAAGTCTCGGTTGTGCAGGACTAAGCCGGGGTCTATGAGTCTACCGCAATCGGGCAGCATCGGCTCCAAGGGTGGCTGAGATATTGCTGCCGACCATGGCATCGCCCACCTCACATGCTGAAAGTACCAGGTCGGGCCCGGAGCGATACAGCACGAACCAGTCCAGTTCTCGCCTTCAGAAGGCTCTAATTCCCGTCTTGCAAAGATCCTGATACGTATTTGGTGAGCGTCTTGGACCTGTTGCGCCGACGCCATTCTCGTCTTAGTAGTTCCTGTCTGGATATGGTTTAGGTGAAAAAAAGGTCTCCAAAAGTCTCCTTTTAGCCCACAAAGCCGCTATCCCAAATATCTTCACTTAGGCCCAAGGCAAAATGGCAAATCCACACCAGAGGCGTTTCTTCATCCTAGACTAGGCCGTCCCGGCCTCCAATGCCCCGGGCATGTTGTGCCCCGCCGTCGCCGACAAGCTGCGCCCGCAGTCCAAGTTCGCGCCCTCCCCTCCCTCGGCGGCAACGATGCAGAGACCGCCCGCACGGCAACCCTCTACCCGGAGCCGCAGTGTTCCCACGACCACCGCGAGTCGCTCTGTCGGTCCGGCGCCGCTGAGCTGGACGGCGGTGGCGGCGGCGGCGGCGGCGCGCTGCAGGCCCGCCTGATGCGCGACGCCCGCTACGCCGCCGACGTGGCCGCGCGTACCTGGTGACGGGCTTCATGACGGCAACCGACGCCGTCGTCAGGACGTCTTCGGGGGTCGAGCCGCGCCGCTGGCGCCTTGGTCTCGTCGCCGGGCGCCGTTCTTTCGACAGGAGGGGGGAGGGGGAGTTGGCCTCAAGAATGCCGTGGCCGTGCGGGCGGCGGCCGAGTGCGAGCGCCGCGTGGCCGGCGAGGACATCTTGGCCGTCGCGTACTCGGCCGTGCGGCTCGAGCGCGTCTTTGACGCGGCCGCCACCATGTTTCACAGGGCGGTGCCCGTCATCGGCCCCCCGAAGCGCTGCAGGGCCCGCCACTTGGCGCTGGTGGGCGGGAACGACGATAGCGAGGAGGAGGTTGAGCTTGGTGCAGATTCTGATTCCGACCCTTGTTCCGACGCCGAGACTGCCGACGCTCGGCTTAGCAGTCGCTTGGATCATATCTAGCTTAGCGTAGAGAGAAAAGAAGCTGAGAGAGTATACCTCGTGGATGACCCGATCGAGACATCCACGGCGGAACTAAGCATTCTTTGTGAACCATCAACCTCAGATAGCAGTGCATGAATACATATCAGAGGGAAATCAAAAGTCACACTAGCTCGAAGGTCCGGTGCGTCGCATGTCCACTGTCCACCAACCGCTTAGCCTCGCCCAGCATGAGACCAAGCACAAAACAGGTGCCCACAAAGATGTGCTGGTCCCCACTTGGCCGAAGGAGCACCAGGCGCTCAAATCCCTGGAGAATGCAGAGCTCGTCTCCCAAACGGGCGTCAGGAGGACCGGTGCCGAAATATCCCTGACGCGTCTCGAAAACGCAGCCCGTCTGATTTTTCTCGAGCTCAACCAGGAGTTTAGACCGCAGCTCGTTAGGCATGTCTCCATCCTCGAGCCTAGGCAAAGCCTCGCCAGCGGCGTAGCCCTCCATCAGCTCTAGCCACCCTCGGAAACTATCACCGTATATACGCACCCCGGGTGAGGGGTCGAGGGCCGGGTCGCAGCAATCAGCATTTTGCAACAGCGTGGCCAGGAAGGCCCTCTCCACGGGGATGGCTCCGTCCATCTTCAGATACAGGCGGCCATGGCGCCGGACCTGGCTGGCGAGGAACCCTCGGACATGTTCACTGAGAAACCTGTTCAGATGGTTCTGGCACAGGCTCAGGGAGTCCACGCGCACGCCGGGCATCCGCAAGATCGTCCCGTGTACCTCAGGCGAGGGCCACTCGGGTCGGTTTGGGTTGTCAAAAACGCCGTGTGCGGCGAATGAGGCGAACGAGACGTAGACGAACTTTCTCAGACGGCGCCGTGAGGCCAGATGCAGCGCCGGCACCCACGAGGGGATGTTCGGGTTGCGCTCATGCTCCCTGGCACCGGCAGCGTCGTGTAGAATATGGAGTACGGTGTAGGTGTGGCGTGTCTGCTCCATGTAGGTCCTGGCAAAGTCGACGCACACGTGCTCGACCAGCTTGGTGCTTTGGTAGCTCGGCCGGAGCGGGAGGTCAATGGCGCCCATCAGGCTGTAGTAATAGTCGCGCGGATCTAAAAAGGCACTGTGAATGCACCTGATAAACCTGGCCCTTTCATCGTCGCCGACGCCACCCGGTCTGTGTTCCAAGAATATGGGCGGGCTGATCTGACCATGCGCCCATCTGGCGATTACAGGGGCCGACTGCTTGAACTTTAGCCATATGGACTGGGGGCAGAACAGTGGACACTGGGATTGCTCCTCCCACCACTCGCCCAACATCTGCAAACCGAGCAGGCCGTCGCAGAGTTGCTCCTTGGCCATGGGCGAGCCCGTTTGACATATGAAGGATAGCCTCTTGGAAAGGACGATTTCCTGGAAGATCCACATACGAGTCCAGTAACGCAGTCTCGTAAAATCCTCCAGCGCCTTCCAGCAGGCATTGGGGATCAAAGCTCGGTCTTCGCGTGGCAGATCGTGTGCATGAAGGCCTGGTCGCTGCTGCAGCCATTCCGCGGATTTATTTTCCCTTCTTATGCTCCAGGAAAGAGACTCGGCCAGGGTCCGCATTGTATCCATAGCCAGCGGGATGAAGTCGCCTGTCCCAACGAGTAGACGAGGCTTGCCGATGTGTAAAGATCACTCATCATCGCGACCTGCTGGCCTCTTTCGTCGAGGTTGTCCTGGTTGATGCACACCGCGTCTGCCCAGACCCGAAACTCGCCGGCCTCGACGAATTCTGCTTCTCGCGCAATCGATGAAAGACGCCTCAAGGCTTCTGCCAGGTTCAGGGTAACGTTACGCCTAAGGCCGTTCAATAGTATCGTTCTGGTGACCGAGGCGTCTCCCCAGACGTATGACAGGGCTGCAAAGAAAGGTGGACTTTTGTCGATGAGCGAGATAGTATGAAGCTGGCAGGTGGCGTAAATCGTATCTTCGGGCTCCCCATATGCTAGGAACTCAGAACACTGATCTCTTTCCGTTCGACATCGAGCTGGCCGTACATGTTTCTGGTGGCTGGTATTCCAGCAGATTTTGCCGATGTCGTATTTGGTGTGATGGAATGTCGGTTAGTATGTCAGATAGGCGAAGAAATGGATGTTCAATACTCTCCTTTGGTCCAGCCTACCCTCTAGGATCCGATGACTGGCGACATAATGTCAACCTTCTTTGCGCCTAGGCGGCCGCAAGTTAAACCAATTGAGGTACGCACACCATTTTGGTGTGTCACTGCAGCGTTGCCCGACACATATGAAAGGACCTTTACTTGCGAGCTGAGATATCAGTCAGTGCCGCTAGCGCCTTCGTGAAAGTGCACATTGGCATGAAGGAACATTCCAGCTATCGAGGGGGAGGCTGTGGATTTTCAGTTTTCATTTCAAGTCCTCTTTTTTATTCTCTGCATACCAACTGTTCCTTTTGAACCGCAGACTTCTTTGGGCTTTACTGGAACCAGTTGATCTTATCCTTCCGCCGCAGCACCGCAAGAAACCACTGACATTTCCCGAGAAGTAGGAATCGCCATCACCAAGTCAACTATAAAGGAGCATAAACCGGAAATGAAAAAGGGAAGCCACAGGAAGAGCCGTCGAGAAGTGGGAATCGAGATGTCCGACTATCGTTTATGACTCTGATATGATTCGATTCCTTGGAGCGATGGTTGGTCCATCTTAGTAGCGCATGTCAACCCAGTCGCGGTAGGGAGAGTTCAGGAGCTGATAGAGGTCAACCAAGTTGCTGGAGTTGAAGTCAAAGTCGCGCTGCTTTGGCTTCTTTTGCGTGAAGACGGGCGGGGGAAAGCTGCGCGAGAAGATGTCGGAATTGTGGTTTTTGGCTTGCCAGTCAGCCCAAGCCCGACCAGCGTTTCGCTTTGCTTCGCGATAGGTCTCTACCGCCTGGATGTACCGGATGGCCTCCTTCATGCTGATCATGCCCTTCAGGTCGTACCATTGCTGGATCATGAAGCCCCAAGGGCGAGCTCCCGGATCCTCCCAATGCGCAGCCGCCTGTGTGTCGAGCTTGAAGGGGATGCGATCTAGAAAGAGAAGCTCCGTTTTCATCATGTGGCTGAAGCAGGTGATGTGGTAGAAGCATCGTCCGGCGTTCCAGCTGTTTCCGCCTCCGCGCAAGACACAGATGCGGTAGGCGTCTTTGATAGCCTGGCGATTGATGAGAGCAAACGCTTCGCCGACAGCAGCGCTGCTGGCAGTGCCCACCGAGTTGCGGCTGGACCAGGCGCAGCGGTTGCCGGCCGCGCATGTCGCAATCCCCGACGCGTGCGAGGGGGTGTGCTGGAGTGTGATGGCACGATAGCAAGAACCGTCGGGATCGGGCTTGCTGAAGTCATCAACGATAGTGGTGTCCGCACGGAGGAGCTTCTCGAGGTCCTCGACGTGTCTGGAAGTCGACCCGTTCATGCTGGGTGCTCCGAAGAGCGTCGGGACCTTGGGTGGCGGGGCTTGGCTGACGGAGCTGGTCGGCCCAAAAGACGCGCTGCGCGCTCCCGGCGGCACATAGTTGAAGACAGGCGGACGGAACTGAGTGCTGGACATTCCAAGGGGCGGCGCAAGCCCAGTAGGCGGCGTGCCTGCTACAGAGAGCGCAGGCGGCTTGAACACAAAGCTTGACGACGCAGGCAGCTTGAGTGCCGAGGTTGATGAGGCAGGCGGCTGGAGCGCAAAGGCTGAGGGCGCAGGCGGCTGAAGTGCCGAGGTTGATGGCGCCGTCACCGGTTGAGGTGCCAAGGTCGATGGCGCCACCACCAGTTGAGGTGCCGAGGTCGATGGCGCCGTCGCCGGCTCCCGTTTGGGTGTCGACGAGGTCGACGGCGCCGTGCCTCCCGATGGGCCGGTCGTTGCCATGTTCTCTGGCCCGCCGGGCCGTGCTGGGACAGCGGCCTGGGAGGGTTGGGGAGTATGGTCGTCAGTCTTGGGTGCAGAGGGCTTGCCTTTCTTTCCTTTTTTTGATCGTCCCATGGTTCAAAGAGTGTGCAAAGTCGGGAGAATGTAGGCAAATCTTGAGTAGCTCTGAGTATGAGCGAGAGGAAGCAAATACCTGAATCCAAACTGATAGCTGTCGTAGGCGCCCTGAATGGAAGCGACAGAGATGCGAACACTTGATTTGAGCTCGGCACAGGCCTTTATGCCGAGAAGGAACTCGGAGCAGTACTAGCCCGTATCGAGGGGAGGTGAGACGGAGATGAGCAGGTCCAGAAGAAGCGAGAATAAGCAGTGGGTGCCCACTCAGAGACCCAATCTGCGTTGTGCAGGGAAGGAGCGGCTTTGGAGGGTAGGCGCGGTCAGGACGGAAGGTGCAGCTGGGACACGCCCAGACCGGCGGACAAGCAGATATAGTGGGGAAATTAAACAAGTTTTTTCAGAGTTTTCTTCAGGAATGGTCTCAGCGTGGTCAAAACAAACCCAGTGCCTTACTACACGTTTGATATTTCTCATTATCACAGGTTCATCGGTGGGAAGATGTATGCGAGACAGGTGGCAAGATAGGCATAGAAACAAAAACCCTTTATTGAGCCTTCCGAATTCTAAACCATTCACCGTCGAAAGTCTGGGTGTGCTGTTATTAACAGCAGTTCCACCTACAGAATGAATAGAACTTGCTCGCTAGGTCTCGACGTCCTGGCCTCCTCACACACCACTCCCTTTCCCAGCCTCAGCCATGCCACTACAGATCATCCTCCCGCGGGCCTAGACTTCAACGTCGACCCAGCTGCACCGAATATGATGGATAAGCTCGTAGAGGGACACGCGCAAGTCGCTATGAAGCTCGTAGTGGCACAGATTAGGCCCGCTCTCGTCAAACACGGCCGGGGGAGGTCGGCCCTCGAGTACGTTGGGCGCCGGGGCGCACTGCCATTGAGACCAGCGCAGGCTGGCCTCCCTCTTGCGGCGGCGGTGCTCCTCCACGTCGCCGATATACTCGTCGATGGCGTCCAGGTTCACCCAGCCCCTGGAGCCGAACCACGCGCGGACCATGAGACCCCAGGGACAGAACGCTGGCCACTTCCAGGCGCTCTGGTCACGGTAGTACAGCGAGAAGCACACGTCCTCGCTGAAGAGCGTCTCGGTGTCCACCATGGCGTTGAAGCAGACGATGTGGTAGTAGCTGTTGCCGTACAGCCACCAGTCATCGTCCCCGGCGACGCAGATGCGGTACTTGTCCTTGATCTCCCTCCGGCTCTCGTCAGCGGGGGTAGCCCAGGTCCCGGCGCTGCAGATGCAGTCGTCTTCGGCCTGGCATATTGCTGCACCAGGCTCGGTCGAGGGCGTATGTTGAAGGAGGATCGCCTGGTTCTCGGAGCCGCGTAGTTGTGTGATGAGATTATCGCCCCGCGTCTTCAGGCGGGCTAGCTGCAGATGGCAGACAAGATCCATTCTCGTTGAGCCTGCCGATCAGTCAGCTAGTTGTCCAACTCGCTCAAATGCGTCCAGGGGCCCTGACTACCTAATAGCGTCGATAGTAAGGAAGCAAAGCTCGATCTTAGGCGTAGCAAAAGGCTCAAAGCATAGATAGCCAGCTCTCTGACAATAGAACCGAGACTTTTTGATCTGTTGCCTGGTGCGCAGGAAGTGAGGTATCATTGGGGTCGGTCGGAGAAAAAATTGTGGGAAGAGAGGGTCCGAGAAGTGATGGGGTGTTGTCAGACAAGTCGAGAAATCCGTTTATTGGGCTAGAGTAGGAAGCTGGAGGCAGAGTGAGAGCAATCTGGGCTCATGAAAAGACTCGAGGAACCGGAACCCGAGTTTCTACAACGTATTTGCCCCACTATATCATTGTACTTGACTGCTGGACAAAACAGCCTTGCTCACATGTACTTTCTCCCCTTCTTCAACCTTTCCATTTCAACCGTCTCAGGCGTGCCTACAGCAAGATAGCCATACGGCGCAGCCGGTGCCACATCCCCGACCTGGACCACGACGTCCTTCAAAAGCCTAGACCGCTCAAACCCGTCCAGCATGGAAGACATGGTCAAGGGCCACTTCTGCCCACCCAACATGACCTGGGCGTGCGGCGTGTCGCGCAGCATGTTGGAAAAATTCTCGATGCCGCCCGGAGTCCTGCGCCTCACGTTCAGCACCAGCGTCGCGACGGCCGCGCCCAGCAGCACCCCCGAAACCACCAGCAGGACGGCCGCCCAGGTGGCGTCGGCCTTGAGCGCCTCGTGCGGTATGCCCGCAGTGCCCAGGCCCCCGTCGACGTAGTTGAAGACCCCGCCGAGCCCGCCGGGCGCGTCGCCGAGCTGGTCCAGCTCGGCTGTCTTGCGGTCGAAGTTCCCCTGCACGGGCTTGTACCCGACGGCGGCCACCCAATATGTGTTGAGCAGGCGGGCGAAGCGCATGCCAAAGTCCCGCGCCGACACGGCCGTCCAGTCCGGGAAATCCCTCTCGAACGAGCCCGGGCTGTTCGGGTTGGCGAGGTAGCCGACGTGGAGGCTCGCGTGGGGGGAGGCATCGGAGGGGCTCGCGGCCACAAAATCCTGCAGGAATTCGACCGCCCTGCCCGTGTTGTTCCTGCTGACGCGGAGGAAGTCGAGGATCGTAACGGTGCTTCGCGTCTCGTTCAGCTGCAACCGCCGGACCGCAGTGGGGCGGCACCGCTGGAGCGGGCTCGAGGTCGACAAGGGCCGAGAGGCAACAGCTCCGCTGCAGGTGGCGTTTATGGTCACGAACGTTGTGGTCATGTTGCATTTCGCGACGAACCTCGATCCGGCCTTTCGTGTGTTGTTGGCTATCAGGTCAAGGCGTCGGGGTCGCCAGTCGAAATAGTCCATAATCTTGGCCGTCGTGTCGTTGATGGGCAACCATGCTATATCTTTTGGATCGGTGCTGGCGCCGCGACGACTGTACACTGATTCCCGCGCCATCCGGGTGGATTGGTCCTTGAAATCATAGGCGACCAGTGAGTTTATCCCATCCTCGGTGTGGGCCAAGTCGTGGTCTGGGAACACCCAAGAGTCGTTCGTGATCATCTGGGTGCTGCAGTTCATCCACCAGTAGGACGTGTCGAGGGAGAAAGCAACGTCTGTGCCTTCGGCCGCCTCCAGGGTCGAGTTGATCATGGCAGGGATTCCGATCAGCGATGCGTACGACACGTTACGGCCTTCAGTCGAGATCCAATTCAAGCTTGGCGTATCGCCTTCGAGACTCTCGATCATGGGGACCTTCATGTTGCCCCACGCATCCCAACCCTCATCGGACTGGGACACCAGAATGGACGAGGTAAAAAGGCCCGTGGCGAGCGACCTGGAGGTGCCCACATCAAAAGGATCGAACTGGTTTCTGACATCCAAATATGTGAGATTGAACCCGACATTTTTGACGACAGGGACGATAGCGGCGATTCTGAGGGCTGCCTGTGAGCCGACGGGCGAGAGGGCCCAGAGAAGGACGATGCCTATCGCTAAGAGGTTGAAGCTTTGCAGTTTGATCTGGGTTATAATGGCGGAGGTGACCGTGCGGCTGCCGTGGAGCTGCTCGATGGTCTCTACCGTGGCCCGACGTTCTAACCTCCACCTCAGGGCAGCCTTCATGAGCCGACCGATAATAAGTGAGAACAGGATGGGAAAGACGGTTGGGCCCTGGAGGACGAACACAGGTAGGAATTGGCTTGTCAGCGACTGTTTCCTTCCGATCCGCCACAGCTTGGGCCAGAGTACAGCAGGGCCCGAGACATAAATTAACGACTCGACCCAGGTATCACTTACGTATGATATCGCCGCTGTGATATGGTGGATCCACTTGACTTCGGTTGTCGTCTTGCCATCCTGGACGAGTACAATGATGCCAAGGCAGAAGAAAGGGATGACCAGTAGAACTTGCAAGATATCAAGCACGGCGTCATCCCAGAACTTTTTGTTGGAAGCGCCCCGGCACGGAACTGGCTCGAATGCATGCTGAGCATGGCCACCATGGTCGCTGCCATCAAGGAAGACCGAGGCTTCTGTGGACGAAATCTTGATTCCCTCGTCTTGCTTCTCAGGATGGCCCATGGGAGTCTGGCTGTAGAGTGGTGACACGGTCGGCGCAGGGCTTATGGGCTGGCTGCCGGTGTCGGATTTTCGCCGCGGCGCCGGCAGAGGTGCGTTGTTACCCATGGCGACAGAAGAGTGGTGCTCTGGCGGACAGAAGGCGGCCGTGGTCACTGGTCACTCAACTGACGGCCCCCTGGCATATGTAGCTCTGCGGGAAGAGAAGAATATGGTGTCCCTGCTTATATGGGTAGGCCCACAGGACGGCTGGCACCCCTGCCCCTCTTACAGATCCGAGTCCCAAAGGGAGACTCTATCACACCCAACAGAAGAGATTGCGAAGCTTGGCAAACAATACAGGACTTCGCACTTCCAGCTGCCTCTGACGGCAGATCAGACACTTATCTAGCCACACTACGTCCCATCCCGTCCCTCCAAGGACAACCCTGCCCCACTCGGGCTACGTGTTGAACGGCCAGCTCGTGATGAAACCAACGGGCAGTGATGTTTCAGGGAAGCTGTACTTCTGATATGACTTTAGACAGGGGAAGGCCTCCTCAAAATCAAGGGAGAGGTGCGACTGGTGCGAGCCAGCCTGTAACAACCGCATTAGCTTGCTCGATGTGCGGGTTGATGTTGATGCGGGCGTAGGGCTGAGCCAATCATGAGCCCGGGACCATGCAGAGTTGATATGGCAGGGCTCCCTCGCCCCTGGCACCAGGTAAGGCGACACAGATACGTGCAACCAACAGACACCGCTCGGGCCCACCCACCCCGCTGCAACCGCTGAACGCAGGTGGCCTTGCAGAAAAACAAAAGGGGATTGATTTTCTTGGCGACGGCGAGCGTTTTTTTTTTAGGTGGCTGACACCAGTGGCCGGGAATTTTGGAACTGTCATCGCCATAATGATATTGGGGACGTTTGCGAGGTGGCTTGCGGGGGTTTGACATGGGAGAGGCGGCACAGAGAGGGAGTGGAGGGCAGACAATAGCCGCAACGCGCGGGAATTGCACGATGGGTGCTGAAGAAGACGACGGATTCTAACAGACTCGAGAAGAGGGGCACCGCAAAGCAACAATGTGGGATGCTGTGCGCTCTGCATGGAGATAGATGTCGGGAAATGAGGTGTGGCTGACAATGCTGACGGTTGCTGCACAGATCGACATTGCCCTTTGCGTTTCACCCCTTCATTTCCGCCATCCTGTCAGCACCCAACTTTGGGGGCACATTCGGATACAACATGCATTCGGCTCGGCATGAATCGAGGTGCGTTGGGCCCAAACACCGCTTGCCAAAATTTGAAGGCGTAGCGATCGTAGAGCAAGATCAAAAAAACAAATGTGGTATTAGCTACAAGTATAACAATAACAAAGCTACAATCATCAATCAGAAAACTCCAGGCCTCCATCAAGAGCCAGGCAACAGCGAGATGGGCCTTGAACTAAACACCACCACTTCCATGCCACATTCACGAAAAAAAGCAATGCTACACCCCTTGAGAATACCGTAATCCCGTACACAGCCCGGCCTCACACCCGTGGACGAGACCATTACTGCTGCACGTAGGGTTGCTGGGTCTGCTGGGTCTGCTGAGGATAGACCTGCTGCTGCTGGACGTAGCCCGGCTGCTGGGGCGCGTACATCTGCTGCTGCGCCGGCGCCGCGTGGGTCTGGTAGACGGGGGCCGGGGCCTGGTGGGTCTCGACGGCGACCTCGCCCCCCTTTTGCGGCTGCGCGGCGACAGCGTGCATCTCGGTGCCGCCAGTGCTCATGGGGGCACCCTCGGTGTGCAGAGAGTTGATGGCGAACATGACGGTGGCGATGATGACCAGGACCCTGTGATTTAGGAGACAAGTGGGTTAGCGAGTGCGAGACTGGAAGGAGGGGGGACGCAGGGCTGCGGAAGGGATGTTTAGGCTCACCAAAGAACAGCGCCGAGTCCGGCGGACGCAGCAGTAGATGCCACCAGCTGGGTCAGGTAGTTGTCGAGGGAGGTAATCCTCGACTGGCGATACAGGTCCGCCAGGGGAGCGTAGGCGGCGGCGGCGGATGCCATGTATGCCCAGCCGGAAAGCATGAAGATGGCGCTGAGGATGTAGGCGATGAAGACGCAGATGCGGAAGAAGGACTGCGGCGCCGACCTCTCAACGCCCAAGGTGACGGCGAAGGTAAGGAGCGTCCAGATGGACTATGAACATGATTGCACATGTTAGCTTGTGCCGGTAGACCAAACAAACGCCTCTCGATGCGCTACGTCTGGAGGCGTGAGAGTCGAGACAACGACGTACCGAGAAAAGCATCATGCCTGGAGCAGAAGTAGCGCTGGCGGTGTAGTAGTAGCTGTACTGTCTGGGCTCGAGAGACCTCCGGCAGTAGTAGGACTTGCAGGAGCTGCTGGTGGTGCTGGACGAGGTGCCGACTATCTTGTCCAGAGGCGTCACATGGACATGCATGGACCAGGCTGTAAGGGCCAGGACGAGGACGGACAAGGCAATGACGGCGATTCTGACGAAGAACACCCATTTTGCCTCCACGGGAGGTCCCTTGGTGAGCAGACCGGCGGCCATTGTGTCGAGACGGATTGGGTACAGCTGGGATAGGAAGGAAGCTCTGTTTACAGGGTCAGATGGAAGAGGCTGAGAAGTAGTCTGCCCAAAAAGCCCTTCAGATAGTTGACAGTCACTGAAGAATGGGAAACTCTATTAACACGAAACGGCGGTGCCACGACAGCAGGAGGGGAGACCGTCGACTTTAAATGAACGAGCAAACGGCAGATGTCTCTCGGCCTTGCTCGCACTTGTCCTCGACACCACTTCTGAAAAACAGCCATGCCCAGACCCAACGCCGGGCGCCCTCCA